CCCTTCCCGTTTTTTGCTTACTCAACTGCAAAAGGCGAATGCAATTTTTGTGTAAACAACGCCATAAATTCCAATGGAACTAAACAACAAAACGTTTGGCATTGGCAGACAAGGCCGAAGCCAAAGGCGAGGGGGAAAAAGGGAAAAGGGGCAAGGGAGAAAGGGAAAAGCGAATGGAAAAGCGGAAAAGCAGGGCGGCTTCAATAGCCCAAGAAAGAGCTGAAATTATCATGAAAATGCTACTTCGGTTATTCGCTTATTCTTTGTTCAAGTTGGTTTTGCTTGAGCGCTGCAAATTTACACGCAATTATTGTGAATGAATGCACAGCAAAGGGAAATGCCCACTGGAAAATATGGGGGGTTAAGGGAAAGTATGGAAAGCCCTTTGTCATTTCGAAAGTTAAGATCTGAGAAAAGTTTTCTGTGCTCAAAAAAAAAGTCTAAAGTGGTTGAAACCCAATTTTATACTTATAAAATGGAATAAATATATGTTAATTATATATTTTTAGTGTGTTGCTCTGGGCAATTCACAACAACTCATTTAGAACTTACAGCTGCGAAACGCACTGTCCAAACGCTGTCCTATTCATTAATATTGTCGCCACAGGAATGGAATGGAACAAAGAGGAACAAAAGGATCGGGAGTAAACTAATCAGAAGTTCATGGCCCATTTGGAAACCCCAAATGTGTGTGTGGGCCAGTGTTATAACAACAGAATACAGAGCACAGAGCAGAGCAGAGCTGAAATAATTATTTAGGAGTCAGAAACACGATCTAAAAACGGGGGGACGGTGAAAGTGCGAAAAACAAGGGGCGAAATTCAGGAAAGTACAGGAAAATTGCATTTGGTCGGCAGCCAAAAGCAAAAGCAAGAGCACTGTGCTTTAATTAGAAGTCGAGGTCAGTCCAGAGAACCCACTCCCATTACCGTTTTGAGTTCCCAAACCGAAAACCCAAATGGCACATAGTATTCGCCATCGCAATGAAGTCAATGCATTCGAATGGAAATCTAATTGCCCCTGGCCTTATCAATTAACTGCAGAGCCAAAGGAACTTTAAATTTATATTTTAGGGCTCAAAAACACGGCTGGCTAAGTACAAAATAAATTTATTTTCACATGTGTGCACTGGGAGAAATATTTTCCAGTGCTGATTTAAGCGATTTTAATCATTATTGAACTTTTAAGATAAATATTTCAGTTTTTCCTGTATGTAAAATGAAATAACCATGTTTTTCCACTTAATGACATTTGGTTTTTTCGAGATATACAAATTGCTGTTGGCCAGTGTAGACACAGCCATGAACACTTGTTTATGCGTGTTCACTTTTGTGTGTGCTTTCGACAATAAACACATTTACAAGTGCGGGGAGGGAGGGGAAGGGAAAAAACACGCAAAGCAATCATAAAATGTGCTTTTTTGGCTACCTTAATGTGATTGTCATACACACACATACCTACGCACACACCTACGCACGCACGCACACCGGCAGTCGATTAACACCAACACAGGCAAACTCAGGCAAACAGCCGACACACACATGTTTTGGGCAATATAAAGCATACGCCGCGTATGACAGGCCCAAGTTGAGACCAACAAAAGCGGTCGCCGCAAAGGTCCGTTTAACTTAACGTTTCCCACGCGAGCCACAATATACATGTATGTGTGAGTGCGGCATAGCACACACACTGGCACACTCGCACACCCACACAGTGTCGCATAAAAGTCTCACACCTTGCCAAACTGAATAAGCGAGAAAAGGTACACTCTTGAAAAAATAAACCCCAAAAATCTCCAGAGAAACTTCTTTTTTAATCCAAAAATATTTTGGGAAAATGGGAAAAATATTGTTTAAATTCAGTTTTATATTTCTAAATTAATTAGGTGTTAAAAGTCAATAACCTCATTCATATAAATTATTGTAATGATTACTTAAATGTTTAAGATATTTATTGCGTAAAATATTTTCAAAATTAATCACATAATTGCCAATAAAAATAATGTCTTAAAGCTAAATGCTTAAAAGCAATATTTTAATTCATAGAAATTTAAAAAAATATATAAATATCTCCATATTTATTTCAAATATAATTAAATTGATTAAATTGTAGAAATGGTTAAAAACATTATCCTAATTTTTCAAATTGAGTTCAGAAAATGCCGCAAATATTTATTTGTATAACGCCAGTATAAAGTGTTAAAAAGGCGTTTTTTTTAACGTGCATGCGGAATTCAGCAGCCACCATCCAGAATCCAGAATCCGGCAGCCATGTGCTGCTCAAATTACTCGACGCCATCTAACGGCCTCAAGGCTCGTTTAAGATGTTTAGGCCAGCCGCAAGATGTGGCCAAAAGTGAGTACACCAGATGGTAATGTCACTCGGCTCGGGTGGCCCAAAGTGGGGTAGGTCAATGCCCAATAAAACAGATCCAAGTGCAAAGATGTTTTGCTTACTGCTTTCAATATATTCAAATATAAAAATTCTTCCTAAAGCTTAAAAATATTTACTTGTATTTATTCTCTTTATCATCCTGGAATAAATAAATACAATGCGTACGAACCGAATTTCGTTGCCATTATTTGCCCATTATGAATTTCATATTGGCCGTTGTTCAATTAAGGCCTCACAGATTAAATTGATAATTTATATTTATTTGTTTGTTGTCAACTGACCGAAATTAGTAGCACCTAAACCCTAAAGTCGGCCGCAATGATGCCTTGCTGGCAGCATAACCATTCGGGATTAGCCAGTGCCATTAACATTGTTCGATTCCCCGAATCCCCAGTTCCTCATTTCCCGATTCTACCCCCACAAGAGACAGACATACAGCATTATATATGCTCACATTATGGTCATTGTGCTGCCCATCGTCTCCCTCCGACAAAGTCAATTAATGTGCGGGACATTAAATTAATGATATACGCCGATAGCCACGCCCCCCTGCCGCCCGGCCGCCTCCCTTTGGCGGGGCTAATCTGGCTGGGTCGCTCAGCTAATTAGCTTTCCGCCCGGGACCTTGGCTTTGGTGGCCCGGCAAAAAAAAATAAAAGAATAAGGAAAAAAGGAATATATACCATTATATGGGCGAAAACATCATGCAGAGAGGATAATGCGGATGGGAAATCTTTTAATTGATTTATTTTCGCTTTGTCTGCGTTTGCGTTTGCGTTTGCCTCTCCGTTAGCGACATTCGACAACATCTCCATTTCAATCCGGGGTCCCAGTAACTATTTTAATGCGCTTATGCCCCAGCGACAGGCATTTTTATGCCCCATGTTATATAGTAATGATAAGCTGATTAGCGCAAGCCTCGCATAATGACATTGGCGACATTTTACAGCTGCCCCTTCGCCCTCCTCCTTCGTCCTCCGCCCACCAAGTATATCCATTTCCATTTCCGTCCTTTACCCTCATTCCGATTCAAAATCAGATGCAGACTGGTGCCGATCCAAGGCAGGCTAAGCCAACCCCGCGGGCGGATGGCTGTCGCCCCCAGGCGAGGATGCCAATCAGGCTCTGCTGCTGATGCTCCTCGCTTTGCTTTGCATGTCAAGCTGCACTGAGAGAAGAGTGGAGGAAGAGCTTGCAAATTATGGATAGTTTTGATATTTTGATAATATTAATTAGATAATATTGATGATTTGAAGGCCACAACAAAATAAATATCCAGAAAATGCAAATTGTCGATATTTTTTCAAATTTAATGAACTGAAAAATGCATAGATTAAATGTATAGATTAAATAAATAAATATTAAAACTTTTTATAATTTAAATTCATAATATTCCATGCTTCATAACCAAATTTGTAGGCTTAAAACTTAAAAAAAATTAATTTATTTTTGTTTGCTTTTTTCTAAATAATACCTACATATTTTTTATATTTTAAATATTTAACATTTTTTAATTTAATCTTTTTAATATAATTATGTAAGTAATCATTATTTAAAGGCACATAATTATCAGACTAAAATATAACCGGAAAGTTAAGAAGCTTATGTTAAATAAGTCAAAATATATGCCATAAAAATAATGTAATACTAAGTTTATGAGCTTTGACAACTAGAGACAAATGCACTTTATGTTTTATATTTAACTGAGTAATTGTTTTAAGTGCAGTGGCAGGACTTAGTGGAGCGGAGCGGAGGAGCAGGAACAATGGAGGCCGACGCTTGACTGAGCCATTGGCCACCCGCCTGGCTGAATGCTGTCGCTCGGCGGGTCCTTTCGTCCCTCTGTCCTTCTGCCCAGTGACCACTGCCCCCCCCGGCCCCCTTGCCCCTGGCCCCTGGCCCAGAGCCTGTTGTCCTGGCAGCCCTTTTGCCCATTTGGTCTTTGCTGCTTGTTGCTGGTGTCGCTGGCATTGACGGCGCATTAACTCATTTCCTGCATCATTAAGGGGCACCTGCAATTTTCGCACATTTACGCCACAGACGTGTCCAGGATGTGCCACTCCTCCCCCTTCTCTTCCCACTCCCTTAATCAATTTAGTTGCAGGACTCCACTTAAATACGCTTTGAATGACAGAGGAGCTGGGGATTGATCTCGGGGAATTTGAGGCGATTTATCAACCGGGATTTGGCTAAATTATAGATGTAACTGCATTCACAAATATGATGGCATTTTTTAGTTTTACATTTTGAAAAGGCTGCGTCATTATATCCTCAATTTCGAACTGTGCAGTTTGGGTAAACAATTTATTCTAGAATAAATATAAATATCACAAAAAAGGATTCGAATATTACTCATCCGACATGTTGGTTAGATAAAAGTACAAATTACACCGAGAATATAAAGTTTTTGCCTACTGAACTCACACAAAAAGTGTGTATTTATCGAAAGCGTTTAATAAACTTTCCCAAACTGAAAGGCCCCGGGCGCTTTGAGCTTGAATGGAGAAAGTTCTCCCATCTGATGACCCCCGTTTAGCACCCCTTAGCGTTCTAATCCATTGTCTGGAAAATCTCTAATACCCGTATATCATCTATCCACTCCTCAGGCAGCACAGCGAATCCGGATGCGAAACGATTGTACGACGATTTGCTGAGCAACTACAACAAACTGGTCCGCCCGGTGGTCAATGTGACGGACGCCCTCACCGTTCGCATCAAGCTGAAGCTCTCCCAACTGATCGATGTCAACCTGAAGAACCAGATCATGACCACCAACCTGTGGGTGGAGCAGTCCTGGTACGACTACAAGCTCAAGTGGGAGCCCAAGGAGTACGGCGGCGTCGAGATGCTCCACGTCCCCTCCGATCACATTTGGCGTCCGGACATCGTCCTCTACAACAAGTGAGTTTATTAAGTTTATTTATATTTGGCAAACCATCTCGTAAACCATCTCTGCAAAATCTGGAAAAAAAAAAATTTTTAATTTTTTTATAAGGGGGTACCCCATGATTTTTTTCGAAAAATTAAAAATAAATAAATTGTCAAGGTTTAAATGCCAATCGTTAGGAAATTTAATGACGAGTTCAGAAAGGTATGACAATCCATACTTTGAATCAGTATTTGCTTTGTTATAGCGAAAAAACTGCTTCGTTTTAGCGAAAAAACGGGTTTGGTTTTTTTTTTTGGAAATTCGGGATTTCAGTTTTTGACAAAAATTGGAATTTTTTCTTTTGGTTTTTTTTGCTGTAACTTGTCCAAAAATGGTCCTACACCAAAAATTCATACTGTTTTGAACAGATAACAAAATTTGCTATAAATCCATAAAACTTTCCGTATGATTTTGGAAAAATAAAATTTTCGCCAATTTTTAATTTTTTTATAAGGGGGTACCCCATGATTTTTTTCGAAAAATTAAAAATAAATAAATTGTCAAGGTTTAAATGCCAATCGTTAGGAAATTTAATGACGAGTTCAGAAAGGTATGACAATCCATACTTTGAATCAGTATTTGCTTTGTTATAGCGAAAAAACTGCTTCGTTTTAGCGAAAAAACGGGTTTGGTTTTTTTTTTTGGAAATTCGGGATTTCAGTTTTTGACAAAAATTGGAATTTTTTCTTTTGGTTTTTTTTGCTGTAACTTGTCCAAAAATGGTCCTACACCAAAAATTCATACTGTTTTGAACAGATAACAAAATTTGCTATAAATCCATAAAACTTTCCGTATGATTTTGGAAAAATAAAATTTTCGCCAATTTTTAATTTTTTTATAAGGGGGTACCCCATGATTTTTTTCGAAAAATTAAAAATAAATAAATTGTCAAGGTTTAAATGCCAATCGTTAGGAAATTTAATAACGAGTTCGGAAAGGTATGACAATCCATACTTTGAATCAGTATTTGCTTTGTTATAGCGAAAAAACTGCTTCGTTTTAGCAAAAAAACGGGTTTGTTTTTTTTTTTTGGAAATTCGGGATTTCAGTTTTTGACAAAAATTGGAATTTTTCTTTTGGTTTTTTTGCTGTAACTTGGCCAAAAATGGTCCCACACCAATAATTCATACTGTTTTGAACAGATAACAAAATTTGCTATAAATCCATAAAACTTTCCGTATGATTTTGAAAAAATAAAATTTTTGCCAATTTTTAATTTTTTTTATAGGGGGGTACCCCATGATTTTTTTCGAAAAATTAAAAATAAACAAATTGTCAAGGTTTAAATGCCAATCGTTAGGAAATTTAATAACGAGTTCGGAAAGGTATGACAATCCATACTTTGAATCAGTATTTGCTTTGTTATAGCGGAAAAACGGGTTTGGTTTTTTTTTTGGAAATTCGGGATTTCAGTTTTTGACAAAAATTGGAATTTTTCTTTTGTTTTTTTTGCTGTAACTTGGCCAAAAATGGTCCTACACCAAAAATTCATACTGTTTTGAACAGATAACAAAATTTGTTATAAATCCATAAAACTTTCCGTATGATTTTGGAAAAATAAAATTTTCGCCAATTTTTAATTATTTAATAATTTTTTTATTTCCGTTTTTACTACCCAAATGGCTCATCATATCATGCATTTACCTATGAATTTTTCAGCGCCGACGGCAACTTTGAGGTGACCCTGGCCACCAAGGCCACGCTAAATTACACGGGACGCGTCGAGTGGCGACCGCCGGCCATTTACAAGAGCTCCTGCGAGATCGACGTGGAGTACTTTCCCTTCGACGAGCAGACCTGCGTGATGAAGTTCGGCAGCTGGACCTACGACGGCTTTCAGGTGGGTCAAAACTAGAAGAAATATTATTTTTATAAAATTAATTCAATGAAAATAGAGGCCCAAAAATCCCAAATATATCTAAACAGCACAGCAAACTTATGTGCCTTCCAAAACCATTTCGTTTCCAAGACCGGAAAACAATGGGATTGCCGGCTAACAAGATTTCAATTTTCCATTTTCCATTCGGAAACAAATCTTTGATGTCCCTTTTATGGGTACCGCAAATTTGGCTGGCGGCTTTCAAGGAGAAGATCCCCTTTTCCATTCCACACGTGATCCAATTTAAACCACACAAATGAAAGTTTCTCGGCCGTGTGGCCTTTGGCTAATTGGTTTATAAATCTGTGGCAAGAGTTCGAGTCGGAGGAGCAGGACATATATCAGTTAGATATGTATGTAGGTGTATATATGTGTGTGTTGCCATTAAAGGATGTGCCATCCTTATCTCATTCCCATTCAACGTTCATTCCCCAGTCCCCATTCCCTGGCGACTATCTCATTTACACATTTACAAATTGCTCACCTGGCGCTCCTTTTTCGGGTGTCTCTGAGCCCGGTTTAGTGGTCATAAACCGAAATACGGTCATAATTCCTTTTTGGAATACTGGCATGGAATTTCTCACGTTTTATGGCCACAAAACACACGGCAACAAAGAAGAGGAGACGGCAGGCAAATGGGTTTGGAATAGACAGACCGACAGAGGGACAGGCAGACAGACAGACCGAGAGACAGCCGACCACAGGGAAGCTTCATAAAAACGTCTCCAGTGGTTTTGGGGCTAAAAGCAGGGAGCAAGGACGAGCTGGGGGAACTGGGGAAGCGGAATTCAGAGCACAGGACACTGAGCCAGCTTGACACCTGCCCGCGTAACCTCGTAAAGAGTTGCCTGCACCACACAAAACTGCAAGCCAAGGCAGGCATGCACCCGAAAAAAATTAGAGCTAAAATTGCATAAATTTGATTATATTATTTTACTGCCAAAAAAACAAATCATAAATTATTTTTTATTTTTTTTAATTACAACCAAGGCATAATCGAATTTTTTGCGGGAAATATGGCCACCGATTTAAATATACGATTTTCTTCCAGTGCAAAAAGCTAGAAACGAATGGATAACCTCGATGGATGCTTTGTGGCTTCGTCCTGCGGTTGGGACATTGCCAGCTAATAATGAACCGGCATTAGGCGAGGATCTAAGCCATTTGCAAAAAAAGAAAAGAAAATAAGGCAGGAATGGGTTAACCACATGCATCCATTGCATCTACATCTATTAGACCATAAAATCGCCAGTTTACTGCCTTCGATGGCGAAACAAAACCAAAAGATTTTCTTTCTTATTTATTTTTTAAAGAAAAACAAGAATTAATGTATCGATTTTGGCACACAGAAGTCAAACGATGGTTAACTCAATTTTAAGCTTATCAAACACATTTGGCCGTCTAATATCAAATTAAGCGCCTTATAACTTTGAGTGTGAATAATGTATTAACTTAACTTGCCCGCCCATTCCACCCACAGCCGATGGATATTATTTTGGAAAATATCGACAATTTAATGGCCTATTTAAAGGCGAACGTTAAATTTCCCCCCCCAGGGCAAAAGGGGAATTTGTGTATTTTGTTTCTCAATCACTCAATTAGGAGGCCAGATAAAATATATCCATCTGTCTTTATCTCGACTTGCTGCCTTAGTTTAATTGTCGAGACAATTAGCAAAATGTAGGCACTTTACTTTGTCCTCCGTCTCTTTCTGGCCAGCACACACACATATGCATTTGCACCTGCTCACACAGACAGCCGACTAATTTGGTAAAAAGCTAAATGCTCATTTACTATTAAAAAGGCAAGGCGCTAACAAGCATTTGACACGACACAAAATGAGGGGCGGGGCAAGGGGATGTGGACAACATTGTCTCAAGTGCTACACTTCACTGAGAGAAATGGGATATATAATAAAAATTATACAAATTATTATAAATATTATTAAGACTAGGGAAAAAACTAAAATGAAATGATACACTCCTGATTTATTTATTGTTTTATTTTTTTTATATATATTTTTTTTAATGTTGTTTTTATTTTATTCAGTCATTTTTTATTTATTTTTTATTTATTTATTTATTCTTTGATAAGCATTGGCCTTATTTTATTTGTAGCTATATATTGTAGTTAACTTTCGGATATTATAAAAATATTTTAAATGTTTTTCGAACTATTTAATTTTACTATCCATGCATATTTTTCGCATTTTCCATTTGCTGATAAATTCCTTTCAAGTGGCAACATATTACACATGGCTTACATAAATTGTAGCATGTTGTGCGTTCAACTTCACGCATAAATCAACCGCAAAATGAGCGATATCCTAAATAGTCGCTGCAAATTATTTATGAAGTCTCCAGAGAAATGCCATTCGTTTCGTTGGCAGTTCTAGTTGCTCGTCGCCTGCCGTCGGTGGCATCAGTCTGCTCGACAGCGGAAATACTTCATTAAATCATCACTTCCTTATAGTGAAATTTCCGCTACCACTTAAAATAACAATTTCCGCATCGGCAGTCCCAGCAGCCGGGATTCCATTGCACCTAGCGAGCTCCTGGGGAAGCCACATCCTGTCTGATTACTCTCCCCGTTGGCCAACTTGCCACAGCCACAGCTGCATCTTCGCAGCCTGTTCTTCATTCATGTTCACGCTCAGCCAGCGTCGATTTCCTAATTTCTTGTCAATGAGCCAAACTTGAGTGGGGAAAATCGAGGAAAGGCGGGGAAAATCGGATAGAAAGGGGGGAACATTGCGGAGTCTGTGCGGCGCCGAACAAAAGGCAAGGGCAAGTTCATAGGCTCAATTTTCACACTTGATTTTGCACAGGATACGCCCACACACAGTTTTCCCAACCAACTCGACAAAAAAGCGGGCATAAAGTGGAAAAAGCACTTGAAAACTTTGGGAAGGGTTTATTAAATTAATCGTTATAAAAAAACAGTTTTCCTTTCTTAAATATTATTTTTTAAATTTATTTTATTCACTTTATAAATATATTTTGAGAAATTAAAAGGGTTTAATGAAGTCAAATATTTTTTCCAAGTGCACATTACCACGGGGGGATGAGCTTAGCTGAAAGGAAGAGTGAGCATGGAAACGAGAAATCGTATTAACGTCACTTTTCAAATTTCACGCTTTTCCAAAAATGCCACCACCCACCGCCCACTGCCCTCAATGTCAACTGGCACCTGCAGCAGCCTCCTTTCCTTCACCTTCGCCTCCTTCCCCCTGGAAAACCATGGAAAATCGTTGAGGCGTAAATTGGCAGACAAAATGCTTTAGGAAATTCAGTCGAAGAAAGGAAGGAATTAAAAATTGCTGATGGGATGAATGCACTTCCGGGTTAATATTCAAACAGCAAGTGCACACAGAAAAGCTGAGCCAGCTGGGCAGAAACTAGAAACTAGATAATGCAGTTGTGGAAGAGCTCTACTTGCGACATGGGTAAAAACGAACAGGGCAAGAAAATGCGCAAGAGAACTTAAAGGGATCTATTAAAATATAAAAAATGTTCCGCTTTGAAAAAATTCTTCTACATTTCGATAGGTATTAATAAATTATAATTTGCCAAAAAAAGGATTCTAAATAATTCATGCTTCCATATCAACATTTATCGATTAGGCAACCTAATAACACGAAAATGTAGCCGGAAAATCCGTTCGAAAGCCAAGAATGAAGTTCGATAGAGTGTTGCAATCGCATGTCAAATACTTTATCCGGAACTGTTCGACCCCGGACATTCGAAGGCGAAGGAATGCTGCCAATACTGCTTCCTGTGGGCCAGGTGGTCGACGGTCGTTGGTCGATGGTCCTGTCGATGTCCATGTCCTGTCAGCTGCACTCGTGCCGAACTAAGCAAAACTGAGCACTGGAATTGAAGTGCGGCCTTCGCATGTTTGTCCATTTCGGTATCGATGCAGGAGGAATGCTCCTGGAGACCCAGCCACCTGGCCAACCAGCCACCTGGCCACCCGCTCTGCTCCAGACAACCCTTGGATTTGGATCCTTCTCCCGTAAGGATCCCAGTTTCAAGGATGCCGGGCATGCTGCCACTGAGTTTGACAGTCAAATCGGAATGGCAGCTCGGGAGACAGGACGGAATGGGATGGGTTGAGATGGGATGCCCCAGGAATAAAGACATCTGGCAGGGAGTGCAGTCCAATTATGTTCGCTGTCAGCGCAACGCAGTATTTGTCTAATCACTGGGCAACTGGGAGAAAACTCAGGCTGAGAACTTTCCGAGCATCGAACTTTGATATGAGAGAGAGTCTTCTAAAGAGCCGTTGTAAAATACATATTATATAAAATATTTTTAATAAAACTGGTATGGGTTTCCATGTATTTTCTGTACTAAAATTCATTGATTTTGTTTCTTAACTACCAACTAGCTTGTAAAAAATCCTAAGTAATTTTTTAACCAAGCAATAAAAATCCCAGTGCACGAATATCTTAAGACTAACCACTCTGCATCCACTTTCAGGTGGATCTGCGGCACATCGACGAGCTGAACGGCACCAATGTCGTGGAGGTGGGCGTGGATCTGTCCGAGTTCTACACGTCCGTCGAATGGGATATCCTCGAAGTTCCTGCAGTGCGGTAAGTGCCAGCTAGCCACCCAATTGAAACCGAATACACCGAACAGCCCACCCACCTGGCGGCCCAAAAGCCACCCATCCAGTAGCGCCACCCACCAAGAAAGGCAGCAACAACAATTATTTTTGGCAGAAACTCCTTTGGCAAGTTCCTTGGAAGCTTTGGACGCTGTCACAAAACACAAACACAAATCTTTCAGGATGTCAGAATGCACACACACACACACACACACACGCAGGTCAAGGATGCAAGTGAGAGAGACAGATATACGGCGGTAGAAAAAGACGGCAGATACGGCGTAGCTGACCTGAGTTGTCGATGCCGATGATGATCTTCGTGGGCGGGGGCGGGGGCGTGGTCCTTATTTACACTTTACACCTCCCTTTCGCCACCCAAAATATTTTCCCCTTGAAGTTTTTAAATTAAAAAACTTTGGCAAAAGCAACGGCCAAGGGAAAAAAATAAAACAACACAAAATTATACATATAAATAAATAGGAAGGTCTTGCTTCTTATGTTTCTTCCTTCGGCCCGTCTGGTCAGGCATATGTGTGCCTACAGCAGCGGCCAGAATACTAGTTACTAATACTGGGACCAATAAAAAATAATTAAATTAATTATTGAAATCTTTAAAGAAATTAAATACAAGTTCAAGTACAGAACAAAGGGATTACAAATAATTTGTTTTTAAATCAGTGTTAAGAGAAAAACCAAATGAATTGTTTTTTTTTGTAGTGAAATCATTTTAAGATATTTTATTTATAATATTTTTTTTTAAATAACGTACTATTATAATTTTTAAAGATTTTTGTTTTAACCCCAATTGTCGACAAATGTGTGACTTTTGCTCTGCGAGAGAAAGTGAAAGCTGCCTGAATTTGTTTCCTTGGCTCGGGAGGCGGTTGTTTAATTGCCACGCCCCTTACTGGAACGAGGAGGACGGCACGCTTGTGTGCACACCATTGGGGTGAGAGCGAGAGGGGTTATATGGGGGGGGGTGGGGGATGGGGCCTTTCGTAGGAATTTCCCAGAACCAGAACACCAGAACCTCGTCTTTAATGCATTAAGCCCCAGACAAAAGGCAACAAGAAATTTTTGTTTCACTTAGCGCAACTTTGTTTGGAATCTTAGGATTGTTGGAAGCCAGCAGGTGAGTTTGTGGGCGGTCATGGGTTAAAAGGGGGTTAACAGGGGGGTTGGAGGGTGTGGCGAAAAGGGGTGACAATACTGTTGAGTGCTATTAATTAGTTGATGACACGTGCTAGATGAACTGGGAAAATTCAGTTTGAAAATACTTTTCATTAGGCTAATTTGGTTGTTCAAATTGCTTGAATTTTTACTTTGATCTTGCTTTGTTTTGTCTCCAAACGAAAGATTTTTCCCATTTAATAGTTGGCTTACCCCCTTTTTATCTTTGATTTACAATCTTGTTCCTTTTTTATCGTATTTTGTCCATAAACTACACAATTTGTTTTAACACCATTTTATTTATATACTTTTTTGTTTCAACTTTATTCTTATTTTATTGCCTAGAACTCAAAGGTAACGAAAGTGGAAATCAGTGGATTTCTCTTGTTAGTTTTTGTATCGAGCTGTATTCCTTTATATACACATACTTTTTCTTTGGCATTTACTGGTCTTATTTTTTTTTTTGTATTTTTTTGTCGTCATTGGCACGCGTGGAAGCAACAAACAAGTCGCGACTCCCGTCTCTAAAAGTCATTTTATTTTTATACGAGTATTACGAGCCGGGGGATAAATGGGTGAATTTTTTCGGTGGCTTTTCGAGGTGGAAAAGAGCGTGGAGATTGTCCGTGAATGTCGTGAAAGTGTTGTTTATGTATCCCCACCAAAATGGAGGACAGAGACTCGTAAACTCTTCAGGTGTATGAGTATTAGATGGGCGGAAAATGGTGGGTGGTGGGGTTGGTAGGAAATGAAAGGGAAAGGGAATGGGAAAAGCGAAAGTAAAATGGCTGCAAGGCAATAATTTTCGTTGAACTATTTTGAAGTTGCGTATGGGGCAAGAAATGGTCAATAAATCAGTGGCAAGAGTTTGCTTTTCCTTTCCTTACCTTTTATATTACTTTTTTCCTTCCCTTTTCAAATTGTTTCCCTACATATAATTACTTTGATTTCCTTTGCTCTTAGCCGAGAAAAATAATATTATTTGAAACAAAAATGTTTTTCCCTTCGAAAACACTTCAGTTTTGATGGCTCCTTGAATGTTTCAATCTTCAACAGCTTAATTCGTTTTTCCTTTGACCTTCGGCCCCGCCCACTGATGGAAGCCAACCCACCATATTTCATAAGCGGCACGTGACAGACGGAAATGACAAGGCTCAACTACAGTGAGCAGTAAATAAATAAAACAAAGCGGGAAAAAACGTATATGAATATGTATGGGAGTCGCGAATACCCTATAAAGTTTATTAGGAAATTTTCTTATTTTCAGGGGTAAATTTTTCTGATATTTCTATGAAAAGACCCCCTGGGTTTTTTCTTGATGGGCATGACAAAGTTTCTGGGGATGCTATAACACCCCAAAGCCAAGGTATCAACGACATGTTAAGACCTTTTGCCAACTGAGAGCTGAAACCACTGAAAACGGGGCTCAAGTCATTGACGGGAATTAAAAAGTTGACAGCGCCAGTTACGTGTGTATATGTGTATATGTGTGTTTGTTGGCCCCTACATATATAGCATGTGTGTGGGTGCGAGTGTTCGTTGGTTTATTTGGCGTGGCATTGGCAGTAAATTATGCCACAAGTGCGTGACACACTCACAAAAGCGGCCGCCGGCTGTGAGTCTCTAAACCTTAGCCCCCTTACCCCCCTTTTAGACCCCTTAACCCCCCTTTTACGCCCCAAATTTCGCCACCTAACCATCAGCCAAGCCCCCTTTTGACTTACTCCCTTGGTAGCTTTTATTGTCTGCAGGCTGCTGCTTCTGCCGCTGCGCCTAAAATGCTGCAACACAATTCACAGCACGTAGAGCAATTTTCCCATGAAGCCATGAGTCCTCCTCCTTCCCCTCTCCTCCCTCTCCTTTCCAAAAACTTGTGCAGAGCCTCCACCGACAGGATTCAGTTTTAATGCGCATCGACAGTTAAATTAACTAAGGGGCAGGGGCTGGGGCGGGGGGCGCAGAAGGGGCGTGGCAGGCCGCAGCACGTACAGGTGGGAAAATGGGATAGTGGGTAGGTGCTTTGGCCATACTTATATAGGCGAAAGGCAGAGCGGCAGACAATCAGGCATTGATTGACAGGCGGACAGGTGGGCAGAGCTGAGACAAAGGGGCGAAATCGAAAGTCGAGGCAATCACGAGCCCATAAAATTAACCCTGCTTATTCCCGTTCTCAAACCGAAACCCTTTTCTTCCGATCCGATAGGCGGACATAATGACAGTGCGCCGGTCTGGCATTTTGCAGTTTATAGTTTTCGTTCCGGGGAAAAGTGCCTTGAAAATACTTAGTAGGGGAAAATATTAGTTAGTACTTTAAAGTTCCCATACGTTTTTAATAAACTAAGTGGAAATTCTTTTTTTAATCATTTAGTTTATTTTATATACGTTTTATTTAATTATTTAACCATTCTTTGAGAACCTCTCCTATAGAAATTTTTACCAAAAACCCAGATTCCACTTTTTCCACAAAAAAATGATTCCCTTTCCACAAAAAAGTTATTCGTTTTTTGACCGTAACAATAAAAATATTGATCCAAATACGAATTGTCATACCTTTCTGAACTCGTTATTAAATTTCCTAACGATTGGCATTTAAACCTGGACATTTTATTTTTTTTTTAATTTTTCGCAAAAAAATCATGGGGTACCCCCCTATAAAAAAATTAAAATTTGGCGAAAATTTTATTTTTTCAAGATCACCCGAAAAGTGTCATGGATTTGTTTATAATTATTTTTTTTTAGTTTTATTTCATGATTTATGGTATTTTTTATATTTTTACTACCAATCAGCGAGTTCCTCATTCTTATTCTTCAAATTAACTCTTTGTCATTAAAGTCCTGAAGCTCCTAATACACTCATTGTTTGCACAATTTCTTTGACTTGCCTTCATCTTTTTATATCCGCTTATTGAGTTGTCTTTCGGTGTCGTGCTCGTACTGCCATCTCCCATTCCGAATTCCCCATTTCCCATTCCCCAGGGGGCTGTATTTTGTTTAATTGCCGCAATGGGTCTTACAACATCAAATCAACACGCCGGGCACATACACCGAGAAAGCAGAGGCCCAAGACCCCCTTTCCCACCCACTCTCTCTTTTACTTTCCTCCTACAACTTTCCTGCTTTCCACCTTGCCACCTTGCCACCATTGAAGCTTGATTACGAGGCACAAATTTCGGTTGTGTTTGAGGTTTTTCGCTCCCCAGACTCGTTCCTTTGCCTTATCACAGATCGATTAAAATCATAATTAGCAAACTTTCCAGAGAATCTTCTCCCTTTTTCCCTTTTCGGCTGCGGTCACACCTCAATTGCCACGCCCTGCGAGTCCTTCGGAAATCCTACGGCAGTCCTGCGAGATTTCCACTCTATCTCTTTTTTCAAGTCATGCAACGAAGCGTGTTTATGTTAGTTATTAAAATTCTATTACTTACTTTGATTTCTGGTTGGCCCCAAATTCGAGTATCCAGAAGGAATGAGAGATGGATGCACGGAGAAAAAAAAGAGGGAAATATTCATCAGTTCGACTTTGAGTTGCAAAACAAAAATAAAGCTTCTAGTTAGATACTTCATTTGGCTTCGTTTTTTTCTTGTTCGGCTAGCTGCACTTTGTGAATATTTTAATATGAATATTTTTGATTGAATTTCGATGGATATACATAGATTTCGGAAAGTGCATAAGAAAAGCAAGAAATCGAGGCATAGAAAACTCTCGAAAGCTCATAGAGAACTTTTGGCTCAAAGTTGTTGAAATCAATCAAGCGTTGAGACCTATCCTCCCCCGAATTTCCTCCGAATTTCCCTCCCCATTTTCCCAGCGACTTCTAGGTGGCAATGGTAGTGCTTTGCTTTCTTTCTCCTTCGCCTCCGCTTTCTTTATGTCTTCGTTTCTTTTTTATGTTGCCAATCATTTTGTATTTATGCGTTTGTTCTTTGACTCCAATCAGCAAGCTGTTTCCCCTTCAATCCTCCTCGGAATTCCCCGTTGTCAATCAGCGATTTGACCATTTTCGGTCACTTTAGTGCGGTAACCCCAAACCCTCAAAACCCCCCAGCCCAAAAAAAAAAAAAAAACTAAGAAAAACCTCTCATTTCTCAAATACGTGCCGAGTTCTCCATTCAATTTCGCTGGAATTTCACTTAATTTTTTGTTTTTTTGGCGACCCAAGCGAAGAGGAGGATAGGAGCCGCCGGTTGGAAATCTAAATAACATTTGATTTGAAATCTGTTTCACTAGAAAATCATTCAGCAAGCGCACACACAAAGGCCAGGAATGAGGGAAAGTGGAAAATTTGTTTGACTGCTCTCGATTTCCCTTGGCTCTGAGCATTTGCCATTCACTTTCACTTTGGTTGGCATCCAGTAAAGTAAATCCATTAAAATAAAAACAAAAAACTTGTTTATTTTACGTATACTTAATATTAAGCATACGCCCAGTGGGTCAAGTATGAAAATAATTTATAAATTTGCTTAGAATGTAAAAGAAAGTAGGATATTAAACACTTCGACTACGTTTTTGCCTGGCTTTGAACACATTTCTATTTCTGGTTCCTTAGCCTTTATTACGCATACGCCGCGTGGCCCAGCGCATTGATGAATTGTTGCCAATTTCGGAATTTCACGAAGAGGGATGTGTTTGTGGGTGGATTGTGGGGGGGGTGTGGAAATATGGGAGTGCCATGTGCCATCGAGTCAAATCAAACTGAAGTTCTGCTGGTCTTGGCTGGTATTTGTTGTTGCTTGTGCTCTAGTCTTTTCTCTAGTTGGATCTCTTTTTTTTTATATTTTTCCTTTTTTTTCCGGATTTTGCCTATGTGGCGCCATCTTCCGGCGCCGTGTGTCTGTGTGAGTGTGTGTGGAGGCACGCGTGTTCTAAAAGTGAGTCTGTGTGTGTGTATTTCTTGCCTATTTTATGATTTATTGTATGTTTTCCCATCGTGCTTGCTAACCAAGTAACCAACTAACCAAGCGAACCCACCGAGTCACCGAGCTTATTACACTGACCTTTACACGTACTAAGCCACCCACTCCACGCCACCCCATTCGCCGACTTAAGGGTCTTCCAAGTTTTCTGTTTTCAGCTTTTTTTCTTTTCTTTTTCGGGGGCAAGTGTCTCTGTCAGAACTCGTGTGTCTCTGTCTGCAGGGACTTATCTTTAAGGAGCAAAGTGGCGGGGGAGGGGAAGGGGGAGGGGGAGCGGGAATTCCCCGTTTTCGGACACTCCATGGCCTGTTGACCAAAGCTCACTTCAGCAGACTTAATCTGTAGCCATATTACATTTTTCGCATTCGCATTCGATCGGGGGACTTTGGGAAGCCAAGTGAGCCGAAGGATATCGGGTATTAGGTATTAGGTGGTCCGCCCACTTGTGTTTTGTCGTATTTAAATGTCCTTTTAATGGACCAAGGCCATGGAATCGTCGAGGTGTTTGCTACATGTTTTCTGCTTTAAAAAAATGGCATTTAAAAAATATTTAAGAACTTTTGGAAAGTAAATTCCATTATTTGCTCATAACTTTTAAATGAATGGTCCGATTTTAAATTTCGGTACGTTTTAATAAACACAACCAAATCACACAAAGTAATATTAATAAGGGAAAGTTACCAATTTAATATTATTTATTAACTGCCCTTTAAACAATAACTTTATTATATCTGCACTGTTCGTTCCCTCTGTTATCTTATTCGTCCTTTTCCCCCCGTTCTGGTTCCCTTTCGAGTGACTGACATTTGGAATTGCCTTGGCAAATTATATTTTATTGCTGCAGCCATCAAAACTAACCCACAAGATGTTGGCCTTCAATCCCGGATTCCCCTCCCCCTCCTCACACATCCTTATCCCCATTTGCCATCCCCATCCCCATCCCCATTCTGTGTGCCTATTGCCACATACTTCATTTCTATTTGGAGGGAAGTCAACTGCCACAAACAGTTAGTTGCCTGCCGGCCACATCCTTGTCGTTGCTGTTGTCGTTGTCGTTGTCGATGTCCTTCCCCCCGGCTCACTTCCATTTCCCACGCTTTATCCCTGCTCCTTGCCTTGTTTATTATTTATTTACAATATTTTCTTATTCAAAATGAAGCCGCAAGCCTCTCGGAATTATTGATGGCCCGGCCATATACCACAGCGAAATGTCGAGTGGGGCAGGGGGCTACCCCTTTTTTTTCTGTTGCCAGCAGTAACGCTTTTTTCTTATTTATACATTTTTATTTTCGTTGTTTTGTTCAGTGTCCCTCCACTGGCAGCTTCTGTTCCAAGAGTTTTTCAAGTGCTACGAGGGGAAAAAAACATAACGAAAAGTCCGCTCTACTCAATTTACAAAAATTTTCTTTCTTCATTATTTTTTTATATTCTACCCATTTTTTTTGTTTTTTTGTGGGCAGCCGTAGTCAGAGATTATTAACTTTTAAATTATGCATTGGTCCGGAGGAAGGAAAAGGGGCAAAAATATGAGAAATGCGAGAGCTCAAAGACTGAATGACTGTCGAACTGATTAACGCAAATGGATTAAAGTTTCAGAGGGTTAGTTCAAGGGTTCTTTAGCTTAACTTTTCAAGTGGGTTTCTTCTTTGTTGGAAACAGTTTTGTACTCCGATATCGCAGAAAAACAATTTATGAGCTAATTTTGTAGTTTAATAATAATTTTTTTAAATTACAGCATAAAAACACATTTCTATTTAATTATTTTATTTTTGTATTTATATTTTTGAATATTTTTTTACTGAAAATGTTAGTACTGAAAAACAGCATTAAACCTGGAAACACAAATATTGTTCGCATATTTGAAAGTTTTGAAGTCACTGCCTTTGCGCAGCTACGCAAAAATACGCAAAAATACACAGAACCATTTTGACACTCAGTTAGCAGTTAGGCCAATATTTTTTCAGCATTTTACAATATTTATCATGCGGCCGATGATTTATGTGATTGGAGCGCCATATATCTGGGGATATATGTGTGTTTATGTAAATAAATATAGGTTTTGGGTGCCAGACACTGCGGATGCTGCAACGGTAGCACCACAAACGCAAAAAAAAAAAAAAAAACAAATAAAATACCATCAAAATAAATATCCACAGCCAGAATGAACCTTAATAAATATTTACGCGCTGCGTAACAATTTGCCTAGCTCATACGCCAATTTCCCCGCCCTTAATTTATCCGCAGGAACGAGAAGTTCTATACGTGCTGCGATGAGCCATATCTGGACATCACCTTCAACATCACGATGCGCCGCAAGACCCTTTTCTACACGGTCAACCTGATCATCCCCTGCATGGGCATTAGCTTCCTCACCATCCTCGTGTTCTACCTGCCATCGGACAGTGGCGAGAAGGTGAGTCGAGGGTTATCCTAAGATATATTTTTGGGTGTACAAGTAACTATTCATGAATGTATTAAGGGACCCTTTATAATCATCATCTCCTTTTTTGATGGTGTTTCCTTGATTCACACTTCCTTATTTCAACCTTATAATTCTCAATTCATTTTTCAGGACTATTTCGATTTTTTTTACATATAAAATTTCTTAGTAATATTTATTTCATTTTTTGCAATGGAAATAAAATAGGGAATATAAATACTATTGTGCAAAAAAAAATTTATTAAATTTATTTAAAAAAAACTCCTTTTTATTTATTTGCTAGAGTTTTTATTGTGTAGCCCGATTGATAAACGGGCTCAATTAATGAGCTAAAGTTTAATTAAATCAGTCGGCCAATTGCTGCGGCCCGCGTGTCTAAAAGCTTTATCTCCGGCCGTTGGATTTATGCTAATGCTACACATGTTATTGCATTTATTCGTAGTGAAATTAACCATTAGAATCAAGTTCATCCGCAGCTGAAATGCATTAGCTTGAAAATACCATTTGCCGTTTCCCCCTATTTTCCTTATTTGCTTTGTTCACATCTGCTGCTGCTGCTGATATTTTCCCCGCGCTTTTCACCATTCTGATTTTTTTTTTGCATTAAACCAATTGCCATAATTTATTACCAGCTCAGCCCCTAGCCTTCGCCCATCCGCTCAAAATGTGCTTTTAATTAAAAAGGCAAAAAAAAAAATAATAATAATTTCACACTCAAATGAAAATGAAAATGCATTTCAACATTTTATTCGTTTTGATTTTACACTTTTTTCGGCTCTTCTGCTTGTGTGTGTTGTGTTGTGTGTGGGTTCTTTTTTCGCCCAGTTTGCCATCATTTAAGTTTGAGTAAATAAAATTACACGATGTATTCAATTTAATGCGAACAAAAGTCTGGCGCGTTTTTTGCGGTTCTTTGGCGATTCTTTGAGGGAAAAACGCCAAACGAAAATGAAAATGAAAACACGAAATGGCATAATGCATAAATATAAACATTTACATGCTGCCTGGGACTTATGAATAAATTACGGCCAATTTTCAAAATAAATAAAATGCAAAAATAATTTGTGTGCGCAAGCGGTTTGTGGATTACTGATGCTGATGTTGATGGCGATGCCATCCGACATTTCCACATCGCTCACGGAGCATAATTTATGTTATAAATATTGACAGCGCCGGGCATTTGATGGGCCAACCCAGCAGGCCTTATGTAAATTCCCGATTTGCGTGTGCATTATCGAGTTAAGAGCGACCGATTCGATGAGTACTCATCGAATAATGCACGTATTAAAACAAGCTGTCACACGAAAACGACTTTTTTGAACGATTCATTGCAGTTGGTATTTATCTAAGTTCTTTTGATAAGAAAGTATAAGGAAATATATATATATTTACATTTTAAAATATTAGAATTTTTTACAAACTGGTTTCATCGCAAATTTTAATAGTTATTTATATATAGTTAGTTTATAGTTAAGCACCATGAAACTATTTAAAGTTAATCTTTTTTAGGGCAAGTAATTTTTCCAATTAATTTTAGATTTAGATGACTCTCTAGTAATATTTAGTTTCCACCCATAACTACTTTTTTTCTAGTACTTAAACTTCGCCGATCCAATAAAAAATAATCAATTCATGCGATAGTTTTTTTTTTTTTCAGAATATTTTCCCCTCTTTTTTGGAAGGCATCTCCGGTTATTTTGGCTTTTTTGTTTGACTTTTACGATTTGTGCCGAGTGGGCACATTTCATTGCACTGTTGTCCCTTTTATGGCCATGCACGCACACTCACTCCGTCACAAACACACAGACGGAAACACTGACACACGGATCTGGCAAATATTTACGCCTAAAAGCAGGCAGCGAAATAAAACAGGACACAAACTGCGGAACTGCGCCCGAAATTCCCGCCACTGGCCGGTCAGTCTGCAGTTAACTGTGGCAACTCTGGCACGTCCGCCCCGCCCACCGCCCACCGCCCAGCGCCCATCCTTTCGTCCTTTCGGAACCCCGGTGGCCGAAGCTACGAAGTTCCAGCCCCGCGATGGCATCGGAATTGGAATTGGAATTGCCAATTTACATGCATATGCGCCACAACGCACTTCATTCATGCAATTGCCGATTGCGGGAGTGTGGAAAGGAGGTGGGGTGGTCAAAAACGGTTGCGGCACACTGGCAAAAATTGTTTCTTTTTGTTTTTGCCTAACAAGATTTAATTACAAGTCAAACGCTGCAAAAATAGAGCGAAAAGAGGAATAGGAATGCAAAAATAGTGCTTAGAAATAGGATTAGAACCAAAATACGAATATATAAATATTTGTGTAAATAATTCTTCATATCTACAGTAATTTTTGAGTGGTTCCTATATATATAAATAATATTAACTGTTCACAGATTAATTGGTAAAAGGAAAATAAAGAATTTAATACATTCTTTTACATTTTCAAGTTTATTTATAGCCTCATCTGTCCAATTTGTTTGACATTTTATAATTTGTAGTTTTGGGACACATTTTTTTCTGCTCATTTTTTTGTTTTCCGTGCAGGAAACGAAGGGCTACTTTTCCAATACTAAGTAGCCGCACTGTTCCCAATTCCCCTCCGTTTATTTGCATCGTATTTTTATGGCCGAAACAATTACGTTTTACGAACGGAGTCCACAGATTGAAACTGGCCCATCAGTTGGGACATCCGAGCCATCCAGTTCGAGCTGTTCAACCCGACCCAACAGAACCGAACCGAAATCGTAACCGAAATGCATTTGGCAACCTTAATTACACCAAGCATTTGCATAAATAATGAGCAGGTCACTGGCGATGAGAGCGTGAGGCGATTGCATTTGGATCCTTTCGCCTTTCGCCATTTTTGCCATCTCTAAGACGCCCAGCCATCGATAGAGGCACACTGAGAAAAAAATACTAAGCTTTTAATATTTAATTTTAAACTAAATTATTTTCTTTTATAATTTTATTAAACTATATTTATTTTAAAAAATGTTATAAATATTTGGTCACTGTAGTTAAATTAAAAATTTATCATAATGTTTATTCTCGGAAGCATATATATTTTTTATGTATATTTTAATAATAAATGGTTTTCTTTATTTTATATAATTTATAAAATAAATATTATTTAGTTTTCTCAGTGTTTTTATAGTGGAAAGGTCGAGGAAGCTGGCATTGGATTTGCTTGGCAAGTTGTAACCTTAATTAGGCAACGTCACTAATCGCTTTACAAGCCCTGGCCCCAAACTAAGGCTAATTATCATAAAATCATTAAGCATCGAAAATTTATGCCGCACACAGACACACACACACACGTACACGCACACAGACATTAAGAGGACACACTCACACAGACGGGCAGACAGACAGAAGAGAGGCTCAAATCGCGCGTCTCATTTTCGACATTTAATTACTTTCTGCCGACACACACACACAGATCGAAAGCCATACAAACACACTTTATTACAAGCAGCTTAGGCATAAATAAGGTGAGCTGCCACGCCCACCTCCCTGCCGCCGCCCCCTTCTACAAATCATTTTTCGCCTTATTGAGCGCCCTGAAAAGTATGCCGCGCTTTCGTTTTCATTTCCATTTTCACGTTTTTTTTTGCTTTTTTCTTTTTTTTTGGCATTTTCCATTGCCTTTGCATATGATTTGTTGGCCAGCTTTTGGCAAGGCCGCAATTGCCGGCTGACAAACCGCCTTTTCATACGCCCATTGCCCTGGCTTATTATTTGCTTGTGATGCCCGCTTAGGCATTCTAAATCAATTTGGATTTGTGCCTCAAATGGAATGGCCAAGCGAGCGGAATCTTGGCGATTGTCTGGCACTGAAATTCAAATTATCGGGCAGCAAGGAAATTAGTTTGAAACTAAAACATTCTTGGTAATAAATAGTATTTATTTAATAAATTTAAATGATTACATTTAGAATTTTAGGGTCTAAAACAGCATTGGAAAATATTTATACATTTAAATACAATATGATATTCATAGTTTTCTAATTAAAATTATTATAATATTTACTAAGTCTATTAACTTCATATTTAATTAACTACGTCAACCATAAGGTTTTGTTATTAATGAAGTAAACGTAAGGCACGCTTAACTTTTGTGTATTTATTAATTAATCCAAAGGGCTTAGATGCCTTTCCTATTACAACAAGTAAATACCATAGAAATTAATAAGGCCAAACTGCTACACTAATTAGCTAATCCAAACGACTTATGGTTTGATTATTTAATTAATTCAAAGGTCTGCTGTTATGTGTTTCTACCATTTATTTAATGGTGGAATTAGGGAAAAAATATTTCTATGTACATTAAGTCTACAATGTTTATTTTTTTGTATTTTTTTTAATACTTTTAAGATATAATATCTTATGCTTTATTTGATTAGTTTTATTTATTTTCGTATAAATTATTAATTAATTTATTTTTTTTTAGCACCAAAAACTATTTATTCCCAACAAAAAATCACCATAAACCAGATACCTTTTGGGAGTATTATGCAATCAATATGCACACCCTGATTGCGACACTATTAAAGCAAGGGGGCAAAGGGGAAGAGCAAAGAAAATGCTCCATGGGAAGAAAAAAGAGCTTAAGCTGCGTCTGAGCAATATTTATGCATTATAAATGAGAATCCTTATCAGGCCGGGAGTTTCCCGTTTCCAGTTTCCCGTTGTTGTTCGCAGTTCGCAATTGTCGCTTCTTTATGGCGCTTTAGATTTTCCGCTCGACGTGCAGCTCAATTTGCCACGCCCCCTAGCCCCCAGCACCCCCTTGTAATACATATATATATATGTACTGTACGTATATTTGCAGGTCTCATTAAGCATATCCATTCTGCTGTCGCTCACTGTGTTCTTCCTGCTCCTGGCGGAAATCATTCCGCCCACATCGCTGGTGGTGCCGCTGCTGGGAAAGTTCGTGCTCTTCACCATGATACTGGATACCTTCAGGTGAGTTGCTCGGGTTTTCCCGCGATTTTCCCACGATTTCCCCATCGATCTCCGAGCCAAATGTGCCACTAATGCGGCCCAAGTACTTAAGTGCTGGGTACTTGAAATATTAAATTTTAATATAAAAACTTTTCATTTAAAATTTGAAATATTAAATAATAATAGTAAAGAAAACTAGAAGATTCTGTATTTCTATTTTATTTACTAAACTATAAACATATTTGTGTAGCCATTACTACGACAAAGTAAAAAACTCAATCATCTTTATATACCCCAAAAATTCAAATCATTGAAAACTTCGGAATATGTAGTTTAAAAAGTTTTTTGAAAAGTTTCGCAAACCGGTGGAGGAAAATAAAACTCGATTCGGCAGCCGTTTGGCTTAGCTTGGCTTAGTGCCACGCCCTCTTGCCGGCCCCCGCCCCCCGCTGGGGCCCTATTAAACGGCTGCGGCAATTTACAGTCATTTGCCACGCCCACAAGGCGGCTGGCCGGCACACCAAATGATGGCCGCCTAATTGTTGGTAAACAAAAGTCGACTGAAACCGAGAGTCGGAGTCTGCCAACAATGGAATCGCCAGTGGCGCAACAGGACCTCGCCTCAAATGATGTAATTAAGGCTGGCAGGACACCCTCCTCGAGTCCCTGCCCCCTCCCAACCCCCTTATTCTTTTCCAACGCCTTGGCCAGCTGCTAATTAGACGTGGGCGTCGAAAGTTAATTACCCAGACTAAGAGAGCAACTCACTTAAGTCCTTTCTGCATGTTCTCAAACATCTCCCACCACCCCCTCAATTTATCCTTGGACAACTCTTCTGCAGAGGGGACAAAATATAGTGACAATTTATCATGCACTTCCAGATAATAAAGTTTGCTAAATACATATTACAGAAAGTGAAGAAAAGTATATTTTAATTAATAACTATTTTAAGTATTTGAAAAAATATTAGAAAATATCATATCATAAATAAAAATAAAAACAAATAAACTTTTAAGTTAATACCGATTAGAAATTATAAATAAAAATTTCGGAAAAATATTCTTGTAATAAAATTATATTTGCCTAGTGTTTTAATATATTAAAAAATCAGAATATGAAATTTAAAAAATACAACACTGTTAAGATAATAAATTTATATTTATAAACTTTATATTAAACACCCTTCTCGGGTTTTTTTCTTTCTGTGCAGCATCTGTGTGACTGTGTTGGTGCTGAACATCCACTTCCGGTCGCCGCAGACGCACACGATGGCTCCTTGGGTGCGGACCGTGTTCATCAACCAGCTGCCCCGCTTCCTGGTCATGCGGCGTCCGCTCTATCCGATCAGCGAGATGATGTGAGTGTTGCCTACAGTGTGGGTGACCACTGTACAGTAAGCCCCTGACATCCTCTAATTCACAGAAAATCCTCGCGCCGCCTAATGGTGCGCACCTGCAACGGACTCGAACTGAGGGATCAAATACCACCGCTGCCACCGCCGGTGGCCTTGTCTCGGTAAGTTTAAGTTGGCTTACGTTTTGAACGACCTTGGGGAATTATTAAAAGTATGCATTTACAAACACAATTGAAAGAAAATCACACGCACAAGTAACGACACACACAGTCATAACTTGGCCAAAAATTGGCCTACACCAAAAATACATACTGTTTTGAACAGATAACAAAATAATAAATAAATCCATAACACTTTCCGATTGAAAAAATACAATTTTCGCTAATTTTTAAATTTTTTATAAGGGGGTACCCCATGATTTTTTTCAAAAAATTAAAAACCAATAAAATGTCTAGGTTTAAATGCCAATCGTTAGGAAATTTAAAACCAAGTACAGAAAGGTTTGACAATCCATACTTTGAATCAGTATTTCCTTTGTTTTAGAGAAAAAAATGGTTTTGTTTTTTTTGGAAATTTGGGATTTCAGTTTATGACAAAAATTGGAATTTTTTCTTTTGTTTTTTTGCTATAACTTGGCCAAAAATGGTCCTACACCAAAAATACATACTGTTTTGAACAGATAACAAAAAAACAAGTAAATCCATAATAATTTCCGTGTGATTTTGGAAAAATAAAATTTTCGCCAATTTTTAATTTTTTTATAAGGGGGTACCCCATGATTTTTTTCAAAAAATTGAAAACCAATAAAATGTCCAGGTTTAAATGTCAATCGACTGGAAATTTAATAACGAGTTCAGAAAGGTATGACAATCTATATTTGGATCAGTACTTCCATTGTTACGGTCAAAAAACCAATTATTTTTTTGTGGAAAATTAGGTTTTTGTTAAAAACTTTTTCTGTTTGTTTTTTTCTTGTTTCCTTATAAAAATAAATATTTTCCGAATCTTTTCAGTATGCACCACAGCCCGAAGACGACATCGCGCAGCACCTCGCCCCACCTGCAGCACCGCGCGCAGACCTACAACCTGATGGACGAGTGCGGCATGGGGGGCATGGGGGGCATGGGCGGGGGAGGGGGCGCCTCCACGATCACCGGCCACCTGAGCTCCCTGTATCCGCCGACGATGTCGACGGCCAACCAGCAGACCTCGACCACGTCCTCGCTGATCGACGCCCAGTACCACAATCAGTACCAGCAGACGGGCGGCTCGCTGCTGGACCACCCACTGACGCCCACCAAGTTCCGCCAGATGACCTCGACCTCCAGCCAGACGGGTCAGAATGGGAATGGGAATGGCGGAGGGAACGGGGGCGGTGGCGGTGGCTACGGGGGCCACAACCTGTACCGGCAGCAGTCGAGCTGCTCGGCCAACTTCTCGCCGCTGCCGCAGCACGCCCACCAGGCGCACGCCTCCACCACCACCAGCGACCTGGGCATGGCCAATCCGAATGTGATAAAGTCGACGACGACGGTTAACTCGGTGGCCACCGCCTCCACGCTGGCGGAGTCCTGCTGCAGCGGCACCATCCAGATCCACCAGGGCATGGGCGCCGGGGCGGCCTGCCAGTCGTCGGAGCTGCTGCACCACCAGCAGTTGCACCACCAGCAGATGCACCACCAGCAGCAGCAGCAGCAGTACCAGCAACGACCCACCACCTCGGCAGCAGCGGCGGCAGCGGCAGCGGCGGCGGCGGCGGCAGCAGGAGGCGGACCCAGCACCTCGGCGGCGGCAGCAGCGGCGGCAGCGGCAGCGGCGGCCGGAACGCCACCCCCACCGCCTCCGCCGGCGGGCGTCTGTGATATTCTGCCCGCCTGCCAGCGCGAGGGCGGCCCGCACTGCTGCTCGGGGCGTGGCAACGTGCGCCAGAGGTGGCACACCTGCCCCGAGCTCCACAAGGCCATGGACGGGGTCACCTACATCGCGGATCAGACGCGCAAGGAGGAGGAGAGCACAAGGGTGAGTCCTTGGATAGTAAATAACAATAAATATTACATAAAATATGTTTTCACAAAAAATAACTGGAAAACGAAAAGATCAAGCGCAAATCCGCCTGATTTCAGTATTCTTTTGAGCACAACTGTTCTTGAAATCAAGCGTAAAAGCTCTTGATTTCGGTTTTCTACATCATTCTTGAATTCCTTGAAAATACAATATTATAAAAACTAAAATATTCCTGCAGGTTTTGAGTTTGAAAAATATTTTAATAAGTTGATTACTATTCTAATACTTTCGGAAGCATTAAAATAAAACTACAAAATATATACATAATAATATTTAGTATGAAATTAAGTCTGCAGAGTACAAACTTTTTATTATTTTATTATTATTCAAGACCACATTTTTATACTACTATATTTTTAACACAACCAGCTTTAAGATTAAACTATAGCTTTTTTTGGGTGTACCAAAATTTAATAACAATATTTGAATATTTTGATTATTACCCCAATATTATTGCGTATGAAATGAATACCAAAGGGTACAGAATTTATATAATTTATATTAAGTACATATAGTATATTTTTTTTGGTCTAACCAATAACCTAAGTACACTTGAACATTTCAATAAGTTCGCCAATGTTCGCGGGGGATTAGCTTTAAAAGAACATTTTATTTGTCGTATCCCATTGGAAAAATAAAATTTCCTTGCTCTTCAGGAATTCAAGTGCAGCAAGCCAGTGAAAATAAAGAGGAGGAAACTGGAAAACCGACAAAAAAAAGAAGAAAACACAAGTGGCCCCAAAGCCGCTTAACGTTTGGTCGCGACAGAGACGGGGATACCTGGGAGAGGGAGAGGGAGACGGCAACTGAGGCCAAGAGAGAGACGGCAACAGAGACAGTGTGGGCTTTGATGTTAATAAGCCTGGCGCAATAAATTAGAGCGGCCTAAGGCGGGATTTATTGGCACGTCGATAATCGATGGCCAGGACTCGAGGACTCGGGGCTCGAACTCGAACTGGAGTTCGGAAGCTCCGGAGTGGAGATATGTACCTTGGCCAGAGCCCAGTTGTTGATGATGTCCGACTGTCACTGGCTCTCTGCCCTTTTGTTGACCTTTCCCATCCGCTGTGTGCCGATGTCCCGGTGTCCTGGTGTCCCGGTGTCCATATGTGTGTCCGTGGGGCATCGTCTCTATGGGCGGACTTATGCCGGCTGCGCCAAAAGTTTTAATGACTTTTCATGCGCCTTATTGAGCAGCGACTACGGCCATGTCCTGCCATCGCACACTCAAAAAAAGTCCAAGCTGCTCACAAAAAAAATAGAGAAATGGTTTTAATAAGATTTCAAAACAAGAAAAAATCGTAAATTAATTTTAAATAAAATATGAAGGAAGGAAGGTATATTTTTATTTATGTTTATAGATTTTTAATTGTTCTAAATTCCTGGTAAAATAATATTATTACTTTAGTAACATAATAATATAAAATCATAGAACTACCACCCCGTTTTTTCTTTGAGTGCAGCCTTGTACGCCTGCTTGTTCGCGTAGTTACGAGCATTGCTGTTGCTGCTGTCCTCTCATCATAATGAATGTTTTCTTGTGGCATCGAACAAAATGCCAATAAAAGTATTTTATTAAAATTACGCACACATTCAATCATTATTGGAATGTCCTGCCGGGCTTAGCGGCGGAGGAGGAGGAGGAGGCGTGGCACTGGGACTGGGACACTCCCGGACACTTGGACGGAACTAGGACACCTCCGGACGGAAAATGGAGAGCACAGAACACGGGACACAGAATCCAGAGGCAGTGTTGTCAAATGCAGGGGCAAAAAAGTAGCTACATTGAAGTCTTGAATTATGAAAATTTTTCGGAAAATAATGGAGTTTTTACTATATCTAAAAATATTTGTTTTAAAGATGTAAGGAAACTATTGAAGATGTTTAAATTTAAACCTATATAAAATATTTCTTTTATAGATATTTCTTCATATTAACCCACATATTTTTAACTGTAAAAATTTGTAGAAAATATTTTTTAATATTAAAATATAAGCAGCTTTTTTACTCTCTTAGATCTTAGAAATTCCGCTATAAAATGTCCAATTTGGCGGCACTGCAACATCGAATGCTGAGAAATGCGAGACAGCTTCGGCGGCATTTACATTGAGTGCGTGTCATTTACGCCACGCCCCCTTGGGCGATGGTAGGCGGTGGAATGGGGGCGTGGCAGCGGACTGACGGGGGAATTAGTCGCAAGATGCGTGGACAAAGTTGAACATATTGCCTGGCTTATGAACTCCAGGCCCAGCGCATGAATATCGAATGAATGGCAATCGAAAGGGGGGAATCTTGTTGGCTCAAAATTTAATGTTTTCTTTTTTAAAGATGTCAATTTTAAAATAAATAGTAGTAACAAGCTAAAAGCCCTTAAAAGGTGTTTAAAGAAATTAAAAAATAGCATATATTTAAATTTTAAATAAATAAAAATTAACAGAAAAGTCTATAGCAGATAAATACAAGAATTTCATTTATTTACATAAGATAGAATATGAATTGAGTAATTTAAAAAACCTTTGAAATATTATAGCCACCTAATTTGACTTTAAACTCATTTAACAATGGCTAGCCATTGAAAAGGGTATTCAGTAACAATGATAATAACTTGGACAATTATGCCAACAGGTGAAAGAGGACTGGAAGTACGTGGCCATGGTGCTCGACCGCCTGTTCCTGTGGATCTTCACAATAGCCGTGGTCGTCGGCACCGCCGGCATCATCCTGCAGGCTCCGACGCTCTACGACACCCGGATGCCCATCGACATAAAGCTATCGGAGATCGCCTCGACGACGGCCAAGCCCAATGTGGCCAGGCCCGTGTTGTAAGCGTATCGATATGTATCGATCCGTCGATCGATATCCAGTATTCCGGAGAACACACACCACACACAGTCTGAAGAAGCCAACAAAAGCAAAACACAAGTAATGAATGAAATTCGCATTTGTTTTTTCTTTAACCAGAGAGAAAGGGGATACAAAACCAAAAAAAAAAATAATTACCAAAAAAACTTGTTCCACAAAAACAGAATAACAGAAACGACGACGAGAATCCAAGTAACTATAACTATAATAAATTGTATTTGTTGTATACATAAAAGGTATAACTAACTATAAATAATTTGTACACTAATGTTTAAACAGGCAAACGATGCTAAACAAAACGGTTTTTTTTTCTAGGCAACGTAAATGAACAGAGACAAAAAAGTGACGACAAAACAAAAAACCAAACAAACGAACAAAATAAGTAAGTAAACCAATTCAACTGAAACGAAGCGCAAAATAGTATGCAACAGATAAATAAATACGATTTATGGTAATAATTGAGAGCGAAATTAAATTAGTGAAATTAAATTAGCCTAGCCAAACATCAAGAATAACGAAATAATGCAAAAAAAAAAAGAAAGAAAAAGAAAGCGTATTTGTTGAACAAGAAAACGAAGAGAAGGGGGACAACATTAGTTAGCTAAGCGAACCAAAATAAAGGAACAGGAAAAAGCCAACAAAAAAGGCGTATATGTATATGTATGTTTTTGTGCACCGAGAGAAAGCGGAGGAAAGAAACCGAAAATTCAGTGATTTAAAAAGTTTTCTGCCCCTGGAAATAATATTCAACCTACAGATCCATTTAAATAACCTAAAATAATAATTTTAATATTTTGTATATATTTTATAAGTTTTTATATAAAATGTTGCAAACAAAACTTTTAATTAATTCAGGGTTAATAATTTTAAAATTATAATTGAAGAACACCTGACGGGAAGAAAGCCTTTTTAAAATGATGAATTCTTCTGCTAGATTCTTTTCTCCGCGTGCACGAGTGTGTGTGTGTGTTGTCGTGTGTGTGTGACTGCAAATGAGGCATGCAAATTAGTGCAAATAAACCGGGAGAATATGAGAGAGGAAAATGGGGGGTAAATGCAGCCCCAGGCCCCGGAAAACCCGGAAAATCCCCCCCTTCCACGATTTCGCCTTGGGGCAATTAGTTAGCACAAAGCTTTAGTTATTATGCCCAAGTGTACGTGGGCCTCTATGACGGTATGTGTGTGTGTGAGTGTCTGCGTGTGTTGGTGCGAGCGCATGTGGTTGCATAGTAAATAATCACCATTAGAAATTCAAATTCAATTTTGGCGCTTGCACTGCCTAATTGGCAAAAACGCGTCCAAGTTGCTTTCACTGCTCACGTTTCTTTTTGCCGCCCAATTAACATTTCCCACGCTCGCCACCGGGCTCATAATTTATGCTAATTTCCGGTTGCATAATTCACTAAAAATAAAAGAAACAAGAAAGGAAGAAGCCACCTGCCAAATAAAAAGGGAGATACTCCAAAAGTTTCCTTCGCCTTCGCATTTTTCCTGGTGTTATATGGCCATTGCTTTATTTGCAGCCCCGTTTATTTGCTTTACACTTTTTATTGCTCATAAAATCAAATGATGCCTGATTAGGGGGAGCCAACGACAAAAAACAAGCAGGGGAATTCCCCTTTTTTTCGGTGTGCGGAAAAACAGAAAGTTTTAAAATGTACGCGGCATAACATATTTCTGTTAGCCGAGGGAAATTTTAACAGCGGACAGGTGACAAGGGTTTCGTTTTCGTTATTGCGACTCACTAAAGGGACTTTTTTTTATTGACACGTAAACATATTTTTAATTAATAAAATAGATACATTTAATTATTAATTTTTGAAGCTAGATATTTAATACTTTTTTTAAGGTTTTTTTTGGTGCATTAACTGTAGAATTTTTTTTATTTTAATACATAACTGATTTATTACAAAAAACTGTGCCCATATTTTATTCTTTTTGTATAAATTTCCAGTTTTACAAAGATATTTACTAGTATTAACTAAATATTTTAAACGATTTAAACTCCCTAATTGATTTTCTAAAAAATTAGTAACTTTTTATTTCCAAGCAATTACTTGCTTATAAATTTAGATAATATTTTTACCATTTAAAATTAAAAAATATATTTAAAGATTTAAAATTTGTTTAAATTCTTTCATTGACTTCATTTTTTTGGTCGCCTGATCCTGAATTATTGCCGATGCCAACAAAAACCACAATGCGTGTGTCGTCACAAGCAAGTGTCAATCACAGTCACCGCAGTGCAATTGTTCCAGCCCCCTCAGAGCCCCGCCTCCTGGCCCCTGGAACATACCCCCGCCCATATCACACACAACACTTTTCCAGTTTTTAATTAAATGAAATGCAGGCGAAGAGTTATAGCAGACAGTGTGCCAGAGGGAGACGGGGCGAGGCGATGAGTGAAATGCACACAAAATGAAAAGCCATTAACGAAATATTATATCTGAAGATGGAGGGAGTGGCGATGTCAGCTGAATCCTGTTTGGGATATAAAAAGCGCACAAATTTCGGAAGTTTTTCTGCACTGGGAGAAGCATTCTAGGAGAACCTAGAAATATTTTACACTTTTTTTATTTATCACTGTCTAAGAAAAGAAGGGTTTTTAAATATTTTTATGATACGTGCGCTTTAATTAAAATTTAAAATTTAAAATTGATTTTATTTTACATTATTTTGCACAATTTCTCTCTTTTTTCTTCCCGTGTGGCTTTGATGTTATTTAAGCACAAGCCATTTAATAGGTTACCCACGAAATACAGCGCGCCCGAAGTGAAGAAGAAGTAAATCTGGAATGGGGGCAGTTGGAGACCGCAAATCATAATTGTTGCGGACACACAAGACACAAGAAAAGCAAATAATGCGGTGGGGTGGGAATTCGGGAGTTGGGTGGTCGAGTGGGTGGCTCGGGACTCCGCCCCAAAGTCGTAACAATGCAAACTGTGTGGCCACACACAAAAAGGACATTAGCCCTGCTCCTTTCTGCTTTCTGCTTTTGGCTGTTGCTCTTGATTTTGCTCTTGCTTTTGCTTTTGCTTCTGCTTTTCCCCTTGCTCATACTTTGGCTTTGTTTCATTCATTTAGACTGGTTTTCCCTTCGCTTTTGGCCGCCAATGAGCGATGCGTATCAGCGGCGAACGTGGCCAAGAATTCGGTCTATTTGTTTGTTTTCACTTTTGCGGCCTAAATGTACTTACAGTGGAATGTCCGATTTGGCAATTGGTTGGCTTAGAAAACATTTACCGGTTCATAACCGATTCGCACTGGACTTATAACCGATTCCCAACCGATTTAAACAAAAACACTTCTCAATTCGCATTTATAATTGATTTTAAAACCGTTTCATTGACAAAATCGTGCTCTCTTCAAAATCATTTATTTAATTTAAATCAATGGAATAAAACATTTTCCCATTGACCATTCAATTGAAATTTCAATTTGAAGCTTAGTCCTGTGACAGAAAACAAAGGGAAACCTATTGCATGCCGATTGATGGGGCAAAAGTAATCAAATAAAAAACCAATGGCAGTTGGCTTAGCCGGAAATATTCATCATTGAACATTTCCCACTGTACCGGCATTTTATCTATGGGCCCCCCAAACGCAGTGGACAATACAAAAGCAATCATAAAGTTATAGCCCCGACGAAACAGTCGCTACTCCGGGGTACTTCCCCTTGGCCAGTTGGCCATTTCCATTTCCACTACCGTTGCCGGTTTTCGGTTCTCGGTTGGAAAAACTCGAAGCAAAAACCAACTTTACACCCTTGGGCGACATTTTCCAAAAGGCAGCCTTTTCCGCACCCACACTCGAAAATCCACCGAACACCGTCTCTCCAAAACCAGTGTTGAAATTGTGGCTGTTTTTCAGACAGATATGTCTGCAAATTTTCGTTTATGCATTTATTTAAAATCTTTAACTATTGACATTTTGTTAAAAAGTATTCAGAATACAGTTTCATATTTTTAAAATGTGTTTTTGGACCTTCTTTTATAGAAATATTAAAAATAATTAAGTCTTTTTTTTAATAACACAATTTTATTGTTTTAACTATTTAACTTATTTTAAAAGCGATTTTAATATTATTATAAAAGTGTAGGGTTTTTTTCTTTTTTAGAAATATTAGAAATAATTAAGTCTCTTTTTTAAATACCAAAATAATATTTTTTAGTTTTCCTATTTTCTTATCGAGACTTTGGGCATCACTGATCCACCTCCACATCCTCAGCACACGCTTTTCCCTTCCCCATTTTCCCCGACCCCTTCCCCATGTCGTTTAATGTCCTATCTATGTTTCTGCTTCTGTTTTCGCCCACCTTTTTGGCTCAATAAGAGCGGCGAATTTATTGCTTGCTAATAGGAAAACAGCCTCCCCCTGGAAGCTTTTCCTTTTCCCCACCATTTTCCCAGACCCCCAGAACCAGCCGAAAAAAAAAGAAAAACGTTGCTGGTCAGGAGGACAAAGTTTGTCGACATTTTTCGGTGGTGCGGGGAAAGGGAAGAGGAGCCCCTAGAGCAGAGGAAAAATATGTTTTCAACATAATTTCATTCATTATATTTGAATTGTTATTGTTGTTGGGCTGTTGGTCTGTTGGCCGTTGCCGTTGCCGTTGCCCCTGCTGCTCATTTTCAGCAGGCTCATTATCGGCCACGCCCCCGAAAACACACACACAGACCCACACACCCACACCTTGGGCATTTTGGCTAATTTGAATTTGATTTCATTCGGAAAGTTTGCCGTTTTTGGCATTTGTTTCATGGCGCTGTTTTGATTCGTGTGACAAGTGCAAATGATTGTAGTCGCGAGTTGATTAATTGAAAATGAACGCGGGGCAGGGGGAAAATTGATTTTTCTTAATAAATAAAATATTTCTGGCCCTAAGGGATTTTTTCAAAATTCCAAGAAAATCGAGAAATGGCAAGCTGTCGTTATTTTTTCAGGCTTAACTGGCAAAAAATTGCTTTTTTTTATCAATTCTTTCATAAAAGAAATTCCCAGAAAGAAAGGATACTAAATTTTTGTCCCCAACAAATTCGAAAACATCCCTAGCACAATTGAAACGAACCTCTAAGGTTTCACAGGAATAAACAAATAGATGTTCCACATAAAACGGGATTTACGAAGTCCTCTCTCGGCTCAAATTTTTCTGAGTGCATGAGTGTGCGTGCATGTCATCTATATCACTAGTCACTAAAACAAAACAAAAAAGTAAGGAAAAAACAGGCGTTGAAAAGGAAAACTTAATTAAAACATATTTATATGGAAATTGGAGCAAACAACGGAAAATCAACTCAAGAGACAGAGAAACCAACAGACAAACAAAAGTGTAAAAATGTTGAAATATTTTTTACAAAACAAATTGGGCAAAACTATAAGAAAACTAACGATATTCCAAGGGGTCAAAGGGGTTAGACTTTGGACATTAATTAAACTCGACTTTTTGGGGTCGCTACCATTTGCCACAAGAGATTGTGAGCTCCAACAGTTTATACATAAACACATAGATATATGAATATATATATAAAGGTATTCGGGGGAAAATCGGGGGCATTGTGGGGCCGGCGAAACTAACACTAAAATTAATAAATTATAAACGAAAAACGAGAAAATCGCATAAAGGGAGACATTTTTTTTAGAACGTACCTTTAACAGAACGATTAAGAAGCGTTCAGGCAGAACAACTAACACTAATTTTAAAGCATACATTTAATGGTAAAATTAACATTAACATTAACATTAAACTAAAACTAACAGACGACATTGGATAGGCGATATACACAGCGAAAAAAAAAAGAAAATTAGCAAAATTGTTTAAAAATGAGCGAAGCAAACCAAACACGAATTGAATTAACTTTTAAGAACATAACAAAAACGAAAAAAAAAGAACAGAAACAAAAAATGAACAAGACATTAAGAAAAGATATTTAAACAAAGCAAAGAAAAAAACTATAAAATTATACGATTTACAAAACTAAGAAAAACGAATAATTGTAAAAATAGAGACAACTTTTTTTTGCTCAAAGCCAGGGGGCAAATCCCTCACCCTCATTCACTTTCCCAAAAAAATTTAAACACAAAAATAAAATATATTTCGCGGCACGTAAAAATTTGTTCGTCACGAAAGTAAACCACAAAAATCCAACACAAAAACATTTTCTAAACAACAAATTTGCAAGAATTGGCCCAACCAAAACCAAATAATGTTTAAAATTAAACAAAAGCCAAAACAACATTAAAGTAAAACCACAAAAAGATAAAGAAAACCAAAGGAAATTATAATTAAAACAAAAACTTAGCTTCTAGTGAGAGAATTTTTAAAACCAAGCAAAAAAGGAACGATAGAAAGAATGCCCCAAAATCAAGAATAAGAAACCATGTTAACAAAAAGAGGAAAGATAAACATATAACAGGAATTTAAGGATCGGCAAGCCGACACTGAAATACCCTTGCATTTGACTACAAAAGTTTGGAATCAATAATGAAAAAATATATTAGATACCACCTATAAATCAGAATAAAAATCGCCCTCAGAAGTTTTTCGAAAATTCATTTGATTATATTATTTAATAAGATTTAATTTTAAAAATTGGTTGCATTACTAAAAATTTCACAATAGTAGAAAAGCATTCAAAACGATAATTTCTGAATGGTATAATTAAATTTCTACATTTTATTACGCACAACCTTGGATTATAATAAACTAAAATATACCATTAGGAACTACTTTTGGTTGGGGCAATTTTTATTCTGGTTGCAGAAAATACGATTGCAAGGATATTGAATGAAAAGTTTCTAAAGAAGTAAGGCGAAAACTAAAACCAAATGAGAAACCGAAATTTAACTAGAGAATTCTTTTCAAATATCAAATAAAGCAAGAAAATAAATAATATAATATTTCAGCCACGAAGGGAAACCCTAATAAAATTAAGAAGTAAATAAAGAAAATTAAAACAAACGAAGGCAACCAACCAGTAACAACAACACACACATTTCAATTGCGCTCGTTTAGCCCATATATAGTATATTTCAATTAAAAAGAACGAAAAAAACACATTACAATATTTCAATATGTCATTAAGTCACAGCGAATAAACAACAACAATAAGTTGAAGGCGACTTACAAATCTAAAGGAGAGAGAAACTGCGTTCGTGTGTGCGAGGGAGAGAGAGAGAGTTGGAGAGATATACCAACTATATATCTATATATCATCCGAGACGATCTCCGTTGGCGCCAAAAATCGGGCGATAATAATTTAGTTTGCTAAGGTTTAACATCCGCTCAGTTTATGCGCGCCTGCCAAATCGTGATTGCATTGGGCTTAAAATTGATCTAGGGGTTAATAAATAATTTGTTAACTAGTAAAAACAGTGTGCTAAAATTTCGCTAGCATATGAACACACTGTACCTTGGTTTACCACGAATAAGTACGCTTAGTGCAGTGCGTTGGGCAATATTTTAAATATTAAATATTTCTAGATTATTTAATAAGCCTCACTTTTCGATTTCTATATATAGCCTTTGAGATTATCCTGATTCTTTGATTATTCGTTTTTAGTCTTGCTCTAAACGTCTACAATTTATCGTAAAAATGATTCGTTGAAATATTTGCATGTTTTGATTTCCGTTTTAAGTCTGCTAGTAGCATATCTTGAATTTGGTTAATTACTTGAATAATTTAAATTGACAGTTTGCTAGATTTTTAATTTGTTTCCTACATTTCTAGTCTACTATTTAATTAGTTAAGATGTTGATTCGGTTCTTGAGATTTACTACGATCGATGAACGTTTGCCAAAACGCACTGTACGATGATCACGATTCAGAAGACGCGCATAAACCTCAGCGAGATGGTGTGTGAGAGAGAGAGCGCTAGTTTCAGCTTTGTTAATATTTAGCCTAAGCAGAACTTGTGTCTTTTTTGGTTTAAGGAAATGTGTGTCTACGTGTGTGAGAGTGTGCGACGTCGTCCTCGCTTAGGTATCGGTGGCCTGGTCATCGTTGTCATCCTCCGGCTCGTGACCACGTCCCTCGCGAATCCTCTTCAACTTGCGCTTCAGCATCATGACGCCTGCAAGGAAAATATGTTATTACTCTGCAATATACTCTGCTTACAAGTCTCACATTTGATGGCCTGGAAGGTTTTGGCCGAGGCCGAACTGGTTTCGGAGGGCAGCGAGTTGGACGTGGTCCTTATGTGGGCCAGCTTCACCTCCAAATAGGCCTTTTTCAGCGTCTTGTAGTGCCGGAACTCGCTGGTGTCCCTCACCAGGATGCACTTGGCCGCCGATCCCTCGCCCGAACAGTCCGAGGGCGCCGTGTGATAGATCTGATGGTAGAAGTACTGCAGCACCGGCGAGTTCCAAATGGAGAGGCCGTACCACAGCCAAATGGGCACGTTCAGGGGCAGCTTGAAGTTCTTGGCGAACAGCGTGGGTATGAAGTACTTGAAGGGCAGCAGGTTGACAAACACATGGGCCCACACGACGATCCGCAGGCCGAGGAAGACCTGGTAGATGATCCGGTGCGAGTTGGTGCTGGGCAGGACCAGCAGGGCCAGCACCTCGGTGAGTATGCTGTACAGGCCCACTGTTAAGTTGAGGCCCACGAAGTAGTTTTCGTACCTGAAAGGAAGATTGGTTAAATATAATTGTACTCTTTATGCAAATGGTATTTCAATGATTATGACATTTCAAACACGTTTCGACTTGCCTGTACACATCGATGGCGACGAGGGCCAGCAGGTAGAGTCCCTTGGAGCCCACCTCCAGAAAATCGGCGTCCTTGAAGTCCAGCCACGCCCCATGCAGGTAGAACGTGATGATGAAGATCGAGTAGAACTGGAACTTCTCCGCCTGGTGCGAGCGATAAAAGATCAGGTTGTCCGAGGAGTAGAAGAGCGAGTAGCGCCCCTGGTTCTTCATCAGCTGGGGCAGGATCATGAACTCGTTGTAGAAGTGCAGGAACAGGCAGCTGGCCGCGTAGAAGGCGATGTTCCAGATCACGCGGGCGAACAGCCTGCGCTGAAAGTGCTTCATGTTCGACGACTTGAGGAAGAACTGCGGGGCGGAGAAAGGGAGGGATGGGAATGCAGTTAGTCGAGCATTGGTCTCGGGTCGTTACAGATAACAGATAATGGTTTATATGGATTATTATGGTCAGCGCCGATCGGTCGGCGGTCGCCGTTTTATGCTATCGCTAAATTAAGGAGCGGAACTGCATTTTGGGGGATTTTAAATGTAACATAAAGAGCCCTTTTCAAGTAAAATTTCAGTTATAACAATAATATAAAAGGGGTATTTAAATTAACTAACTTTAAAACAAAATTATTCAAGAACTGTACCTTAATAACTCTTAGATCTGATTAAGTAATAGCTTATTTACAACATTTAAGTACTTTCAGCTCAGTAATTACAAATAATATAAGAGGAGTAATAAAATAAACTAACTTTCAAAAGAAAATATTCAATTGCTGGACTTCAAGAACTCGTAGATCTAGTTATATATTACGTTATTTACTTAATGTAGGTTGTACTTTTGGGGGATTTTTAAATGTAACATTAAAAAACTTTTTCAATTACAATCTCAGAATTAACAACAATATCACATGGTAATCAAATAAACTAACTTTACAATTAAAATATTGATTAACTGGTCTTAAGAACTAATATATCTTGTAAAGTATTTGATTATTAGCATAATTTAGGTACAATATTTACAAGCCTGAAACCCCAAAAACTAACTTTTCTAAGGGTTCCGAAAGGCTTGCAAATAATATCTTTTTCAGTGCCCCACTCGGGCGACACCCCGTTAGCCCCCGGGACTCGAATCCGGCCCCGTGTCCGCTCTGTTTATTTATAAACGGCAAATTGGCCGAGCAACCCCTCAAAAGAAAAGTGCGATTGGAGGTGCCGCATCGAGGGGAGGATTGCAAGGACTTGGGACTGCGACGGCAAGCAGGAGACGCACCTGGAAGAGCCGCTGGAAGGCGTAGTAGCCGCAGGACAGCGCCACGAATATCCAGAAGACCCCGTTTATCAGGTAGTAGAGGTCTATGTCCCGGACCATCGAATCGAAGCGGTCGTTGGTGATCAGGTATTTCAGCGGCAGGAAGAAGTTGCTGATCTCGGCCCAGTAGTCGGGCGGACCGGCCTTCATGTCCAGAATGGAGGTCATGGTGCTCCTCGGCGGGATTTCCCTTTCTGCCGCCCCAGAATCGCGTTTTTTTTTTGGTTTAGTTTTCTCGTTTTCCGCTAGAGGTGGGCAAGCATCGATAACGCCATATTCGGTCTCACTAAATTGTCGGGTCAGCAAAGACACACACCGGACATTTTAGTAAGACCGTTTGTGGAATATAAAGAGGGGGAAATTTGAATGATATTATTTGTAAATCTATTTTTTTTTTATTTAAGGTTTTCTAATATCAAGTAGTATTTATTTTACATAGTACTCAAAAATAACACTTCATATAACATCTTCTAGCAACATGTCATCCGCTTTGGCCAAAATCGAGGACTTTCCCTCCGATCCCGTGGAGTTCTTCAAGGAGATCCTCCAGGCAGCTGCCCAGGGACATCCCGAGGGCTTTATGCAGGAAATGAATCTGGCCACGGTGGACGACGAGTTCGGAGTACTCAATCGCACCGTTCTCTATCGAGGACTCACCCAGGATAACTTTGTGTTCTACATAACGCATCGGTATACCCGCAACTTTAAGAACCTTCAAGCGAATCCCAAGGCCTGCATCACCTTCTATATGCCGGATGTCAAGGATAAGACGGGAAATCTGAATACCTGGCAGGTGCGACTAATTGGGGCCACTGCAGTGGAGCTGCCCGAGAGCGAAATGGATGTCCTGTGGGCCAAGGAGAATTTGGCGGCCCAAATTAGAGGTCACATCTGTCCTTGCGGGGAGCCCATTGACTACGATGAGCTCAAGGCGAAGCACGATCAGTTCCTTGAGGAGCACAGGGGAAAGTCCATCGAGAGGCCCAAGAGCTAGTAAGTTCTAAAAAAATTAAATAAAAAAATTTTTTTTTTTTAACTACATTTTTTTTATCTCTTTCAGTACCGCTTGGAAGTTCCAGCCGCTGCGTTGGGACTTCCTGAAGGTGGCTCTCGACCAGATCGCCGATCGGGTGCAGTATCGGCTCCAAAGCTACGGAAAATGGGAATCCATGCATGTCTCCACCTAAAAAAAAGGAAAAAAGGAAACCACCTACCCAAAACAAATACTACCCATACAAACTTTAGACGATTTCATTTTATTCAACAATATCTTTCTACAAACAACTAAACGTAATAACTAACAACTAAATTTGCTTCCTTTTCGACATGTTTAACATACAATTACAACATAGTTAATAAATATTACACAAAACAGCAAAAAAAAGGACGTTTAATAGTTATAGTTAATAGTTAGCGTAGGGTTAGGTTCGAGTAACATTAGAGCAGGTTAGTTACATATGCTTAATTGGTCGCTTTGCTTTGCTACACACATAATACCCAGTGAGTTCGGTTCCGTTTTCTACACAAATGCTGAGGGAGGGGCGTGTCGCCGCCCCCGGGGACTATGCCGACTATATCGCGCTGATCGTCTCGCGGATCCAGGCGGCATTCGAGGCGATCTTGTCGTACATCCTGGGCCGCTCCACGCCCGTTGGTCCGCAGGCGATCCGCCAGGACGAGACTCCGATCAGGGCCCATTGATTCGTGCCCGGTATCAGGCACTGGACGGGTGCTCCCGAGTACTCCTCTTGCTGGATGGGGAAATATCACAAGAAAAGAAATTTTTATAAAAATACAAGTACAAAATACAATATCTACAAAATACATAAATATTTTACCCTAATTGGGTCCACCCTTTTAGTTAATAATTTATATTTCAACATTAAAATAATTATAATTTATATTTCAACATTATAATATTTACATTTTTATTAAATAAATTGAATTAATTCCTTATTTTCAAAAAATAATTATCAAGTGTTTTTTTAGTTAAATTGAATATATTGAAGTTCAATATGAAAATAAATTAAACATTTTCAATAATAATAAATAAATTCGCAATATTAATAATAAATAAAAGAATTTATTGGGGTCCACTCTATTCTTTCATTTCACCATCGAATTTAACTCGTGTCACCCCAATTGGCGATCGTGACGTCACTCGCACGCGACATGCAGCAACGCGTTCTCCGCGGAACAACAACAACAACAGGCAGTCGAAACAAAAACAAAATTGAATGAGTAATTTTTCTCTCTCTCTCCCTCTCTATTTTACTCTCCCATTCAAGTGAGCACGAGCGAACATCCCCCGTTACCTGCGAGGGTTTACCTAGGATAGCGAATGGCAACAACAACAACTGTGAGTGCAGCTGCAGGCAGATGAGAAGAATGGGAAAAGGTGAGGGAAAAGGGCGAGAAGAAGAAGCAACGGTCGCAGGGACACCAACAAAAGACACATAAAACGGAGCGCCAACAGTTGCTTGCACTCATTCGATCGGCAACTTTCCAAGCGAACGCACCGCGGCTCAAAGTGATAGTAAAAAGAAGAGATTAAGATCAATACAACATTCAATTCAATTCACTCCACGAAACAAAACAAAAGCAACGGATAATGATGGAGGACACCAGGAGCCGCTTGAAGATCCTTTTCCAGGGCAAAACACACCTCATCACTTGCGGATCCTCCAACACCTACGAAGAGGTCATCTCCCAAGGTGAGTCACTAAATTGGAATGCGAAAAATGGAATATACTGGCGTCGTCTACCAAAATCATTAAATTGATTGGAAATCTCTACATATTTTTTGACTCTGCATTGAGTACACAGAAAACAAAACTTATAATTTCGAATCAAAAAGTGCAGTGAAAGATAATGAATATAGATTAATCTTCATTTAAAGTGATTTTATAAGAAATTTCCAAATTTACGCATACAATATCATTTTTAATCTAACATTTTAAATCTCCCCAACAAGTTTTAGTTATTACATACATATTTATTTTATAAAAAAAAAAAAAATAAAAAAATTAAAAAGTTTTAGTTTTTAATACCCAATCAAAACTCGAGAAAATTCCCATTTAAATCAAACTAATTTTCTTTTTCCAGCCATGTCCCAATTCGACATTCCGGAGGGTCAAAGGAGTGCCCTGATCCTGACCAACGGCAAGGACTACGTGTTCGAGGAGCACTTGCTGGAGTACTTCCTGCTACTGTTCCCCTGCCCCGAGATCACCTTCCACCTGAGGTTCGACTGGTCCAAGATGCGCAGGAGTCTGAGCAAGACCGAGTTCGAGTCGCTCAAGCGAAAGCGTCCCGTGGAACAGGATCAGGTCGAGGAGCAGGAAAAGGAGGAGCCGGTGCCGGAGTACAAGCCGGTGCCGGTCTACCGGATGAACTGCTTCCTGGGATCGCTGCCCAGTGCAGGAGGCGCCCCCGTGCATCGCCAGAACTGCTTCCTCCGGGAACAGTCGCAGCAGCTGGAGGAGATTGCCCTGCCACGACTGCGCGACGAGGATCTCCAGCAGCAGCAGCAGGAGCCGCAGAAGAAGCGCCTTCGCTTGGACGTCTGCGCCAAGTCGAGACGCACTGCGTCCGCCTCAGTGGTTCCGTCCGCCGTTCCCATGAAGCGCGCCATTCGCATATAGATCGCCGATCAGCATTTGTACATAGCTATAGTACGTATACGATACTCCACTTAAATTCTAGTTATAAGCTAAAGGGTTGAACCACTGTTCCTAAGACTAACACTATACCTATCACACCAAATAAACGTCCAAACCAAATGTTATATTATGTATACTACCACCTTTTTTTGTTAATATTTTAAGCTATACGAAAGCTACTTTAGTTCCTAAGCTGTCAGCTTCTAGCCGATTATGATTTTGAGATTAATTTAATTTTTGAAATTTAATTTTTATAAATTTACTTGAAAACCTTTTGCAATTTTCAAGTTTTATATACATTACTTTTCCAATTAAACTGATAAAGAAATACTTTATAAGCCTTTTACTCCCTATAAAGTGATTCATTTCAGTAATAATATTGATAATAATTTTTAAAACTCCAAGAACGGAAATTAGTTTAATTTTCAAATTTAATTTTTATAAATTTACCTACAATCCCTTTGCAATTTTCAACCTAAACTTGTGAAATATCACACTCAAGAAGTAATTTATAAGCCTTTTACTCCCTATAAAGTGATTCAGTTCAAAAAAATGATGATATTTTTCAAAAAAATTATTATATATTTTTCAAAACTCCAAGAACGGAAATTAATTTAATTTTTATAAATTTACCAACAATTCCTTTGCAATTTTCAACCTAAACTTGTGAAATATCACACTCAAGAAATACTTTTTAAGCCTTTTACTACCTATGAAGTACTAAATTAATAAAATAAAATGATGATATTTTTCAAAATAGTAATTATTTGTTTACTCAAGGATTAAAGAAGATTATAGTACTCACCGTGCAGTCGTACTTCTGGTAGGTGGCTTCCATGCACATGGAGTTCACGGTGGCGATGGACACGTTCTCGCAGGGCGCCATGTCGCCCATCTTCAGCTGGACGCGCTGCAGGTGATCCCGCTGCCGGGACCAACCCAGCGTATTGCAGTTCGTCCAGATCTGCTCCTGGGCAGCCGGAACAGCCGGCAGAAGGGGCGCCTTGGTGGCGGCCTTTGTGCGGGCGGTCAAGGAGGAGGATGTGACGGTGGAGGAGGAGCTGTAGTAGTTAACCTGCGGCGCATGATCCGGCAGGGGATAGGCATCCAGTTCCTGGTGCAGAGCCTCCGCCTTGGGCATATACGAGGCGGCTGCCTGGGCTCCAAAGTGATCATCCTGTTCCTGTTCCTCCTCCCCCTCCACCCCCTCTCGGTTCTCCGTGGAGCTGTCCAGCTGCTCCTGCGAGGGAATCAAGAAGAACTGCTGGTTCTCCTGGGCCAAGCGACTGCGATGCTGCTGCAGATGCTGTCCCTCCAGTCGCTCGGCCACCGGGACATGAGATCTCCTTTGGGCCGGCGGCTGCTGGAGGAGGCGTCGCTGCAGAGCATCCGGCAGGCAAATGGGACGCACATGATCCGAGTAGCTGACCGAGGTCTCCAGGCGAACCAGGGCCGCCGTGGAGCCCTCCACCGGACTCTTGATCATGCCGATGATGCGACGCCGCTGCGTCCAGGGAGCTTTGGCAGACAGACGGACGGCGCCCACGATGGCCATCCAGGTGGCACGCGGCTGGCCCTGGAAACAGCCCTCGGTGGTGAGGACCCAGTCCTGCGAGATCAACGTGCCGTCGCAGACGTGGATGTCCTCGCGGAAGAGGGCCACCAGCCAGGGCCAATCCCCCGGAGCCGACATCTTGGGCAGCGACAAATGCTGCTTGGCATTGAAGAGCGCCGACTGGACGCCGCAGCGCAGCTCCCCGCAGCCCACGTAGAGCACCTGCCGCCGGGGGCAGTGCGTCCGGATGAAGCTGATCTCGGGGGCATGGGGATCCAAAACACGCACGTAGTCGCTCAGCTGCTCCGTGTCGTTCTGCACATCGAAGATCTCCACGGATCTGTGGTTAGATGAGGTGTTTATTAACTATATTATATTATAGAAAATAGAGCTATCCTTACTCGTAGCCCAGGGACTTGCACAGCGACTCGGAGACCGTTTGGCGCACCACCAGCTTGGCATCGCCCTCGAGACCCTCGGCGCACAGCTTGCCCACCACCCCCTTTTCGGAGAAGACCGCGTAGCCGGCGGCATGGAAGCGGGAGAGGTACGGAACCAGGGGCTCCGGCTGCAGCAGATCGGCCGCCAGCGGGGCTATGGATACTGGAAGAGGTATTAAATCGATTAAAAATGGAAATGCGAAAAATGGGATCTGGGTTTTTGACAAAAATTTTTTTTGTTTTTTTGCTGTAACTTGGCCAAAAATGGTCCCACACCAAAAATACATACTGTTTTGAACAGATAACAAAATTTGCAATACATCCATAAAACTTTCCGTGTGATTTTGGAAAAAAAAAATTTTCGCCAATTTTTAATTTTTTTATAAGAGGGTACCCCATGATTTTTTGCGAAAAATGAAAAATAAATAAATTGTCAAGGTTTAAATGCCAATCATTAGGAAATTTAATAACGAGTTCAGAAAGGTATAACAATCCATACTTTAAATCAGTATTTGCTTTGTTTTAGGAAAAAAAACGAGTTTTCTTTTTTTTTGGAAATTCGGGATTTCAATTTTGACAAAAATTTGAATTTTTTCTTTTGGTTTTTTTGCTGTAACTTGGCCAAAAATGGTCCCACACCAAAAATACATACTGTTTTGAACAGATAACGAAATTTGCAATAAATCCATAAAACTTTCCGTGTGATTTAGGAAAAATAAAATTTTCGCCAATTTTTAATTTTTTTATAAGGGGGTACCCCATAATTTTTTGCGAAAAATTAAAAATAAATAAAATGTCAAGGTTTAAATGCCAATCGTTAGAAAATTTAATAACGAGTTCAGAAAGGTATGACAATTCATATTTGGATGAATATTTCCATTGTTACGGTCAAAAAACTGTGAAAATTGGGATCTGGTTTACTCACAGCAATCCTTCTCGTCGGCGCCATCCGGGCAGTCCGCCTTGCCGTCGCATCGCGCCTTGCGCGGCACACAGGCCCGGCCACGCCCACAGTAGAGGGCGTTGGGCGAGCAGAAGGCGCAGCTGCGCTCGTCGGAGAGGTCAGGGCAGTCGGCATAGCCGTCGCAGAGACGCGGACTCTGGACATTGGACTGCATGTCGCTGACGCAGTGGGGCTTCTGGTGGCACGACTGGGTGCCCGTGGACTCCGGGAAGCGTTCGCAGTCGAAGAACTGGCGGAAGCGCTGCGGCAGCCGACCGCCGCATCCGGCCATGAAGGACTCGCAGTACTCGCGGCAGATCTGGCCGGGAGTGGGCTGCAGATCGGAGCCGTGGGTGTCGCAGGGCGGCTGGAGCAGGCGGCACACGAAGTCGTAGGCCTCGCGATGGCACTCCCCGTCCACCAGTTCCCGGAACACGATCACATCCTCCGCCAGCTGGGCGTAGCTGGCGTGGCCGAGGAGATTCGGATAGGTGGTGATGTTGTAGCCCAGCTGGCGGCAGTAGGTCAGCTCCAGCGGCGAGCAGCGACGCGGCGGAGCCGGGGTGGTGGTCACCACCGGCTCGGTGGTCTCGTCGTGACCGCCCAGCGGGGAGCTGGACATCACGGGCTCCTCGATCAGCCCGGTCGTCTCCTTGATGCTCAGACTCGCCACGTCCACGGTCATGTTGGCGAAGTGGCGCCGCTGCTGCGCCGGCTGGGTCATCTCCTCGTGGAAGAGGGCCAGCAGGTCGCCGCTGCTCACCAGACCGGCGTACGGATCGAAGATCATGTTGAAGTGCACGACTATGTTGTTGTTGTCCTCGCTGCTGTGGGAGAAATTTGGGAGTTATGGAGATGGATTAACTACCTGATAACCATAAACCACCTGGATTAAAACCCGTTGTAAAACCACCAATTTTATATTTTATGCAACTATTTTTATATTTAATATGAAAATATTAGATTTAACTATTTGAGTTATTTGTAAGACTGTAAACTATTATTAATTTTAAATTTGAAAATATATAATGTACCTACATATATCAAATAAATCAAAAATTAACTAACCAGAAAATACCTAGATAAAAACCATTTATTAAATCACTAATTTTATATTCTATGTACCTAACTATATTTATATCTAATATGGAAATATTAGATTTAACCATTATAATTTTAAATTTGAAAAGTTCGCTGGTTTATTATAATATAATAATAAATTATGGAAATATTAAATTCAGTCTTGAGTTATTTAAGTTAAGGAATTAACTATGAGATATGATCAAACATAATATTTTATATTATATTATTAATATTGTGTTTCCTTATTTTTTTTTTATTTTTTAAGGGTTTAGAATAATGATAAAATTCTCAAAAATATATATTTTTGTTTAAGATATCACTACCCCTATCTTTAAAATAAACTCACCCATCCAGTGCCAAGATCTCGCTGCCCTCGAAGGCCTCCCGCAGGTCGGATCGCCGCAGGGTGAGATTGATGCGCTCCCGGTAGTCGCGGGCCTTGTGCTGGAACCGCATCGAGTTCTGGTTGGCCAGCTCCATGTTCCACTTGTCGTTGAGCACCATGAACCGGCCGCGAAAGACGCGATCCGGCAGCGGTTCGGGCCGGAAATAGGTATCTACGGGGGTTACGATCCAGTGATATCTTCAAAAATAATATTATATAATAATATACTTACATCCCACATAGACAAAGACTCCGGCGACGAGGAGGGCGATTAGGAATCCGGCGATGACGGCGCATCCGCACTTTTGGCCATCGCCCAGTTTCCGGCGGGTGAAGCGGATATCCGAGTCGGTGGACAGGACGGACTCGGATTTTCTGCGCAGGCCATGGTTGTGCTGGTGCATGTGAAGGTGATGTTCCCGCTCTCTGTCTCTTTCCCGATCTCTGTCTCTTTCCCTTTCCCTTTCCCTGTCTCTTTCCCGCTGCTGTGTGGCCTCCAGTGCTGCTCCATTGGAGGTGGGCACTCCTCCGCCGCCTCCTAAACCACCCAATCCTCCCAATCCCGCGGAAGCTGCCGTTCCATTGCCGTGACTGTGGTGCGGTTTGTGGTGCCTCGTGCATCGGGTGTTGTGGAAAACCTTCGGCGGCTGGGCGGTGGTGCCCACGCCCATTCCATTTGGATTGGGATTGCTCTGGACAATGCCCTGTGAATAACCGAAAATGAGAGAGAGAAACATCAGTATTTTTTTTTTGGTAGTATCAAACACTTTTCGGCGGACTCAATAATTAAGCAAGGTCGCTGACCAGCTAAGCGCCTTAAATGCTGTTGATTTTTCAGCCAAATCATGCCGTTAAATCAAATCACGGAACGAACCGGCTGAGAAAACTCTGAACAGCAAACTTGACTGAAAAACTCAAAATCTCGCACTTGAAAATGATTTTTTGATGCCTCTAATGCCGCTGCAGCATGCAAATGCAGCATGCAATGCTGAAATATTGAAAAATTGAGATAATGTGCGAGGAAGCAGATGCATTAATTAAGGAAATTCATATTCCATTTGATTCCATTTTTTTTAGGAGTATTTATGTTTGGCCATTAATTCAAATCGCGCGCTAGCGTTGCCAACTTAATGAAGCGTAGCCGTCCGGCGTTGCCAACTCAAATTTATATTTTGAAAAAACCTTTCCAATTTTTGAACTAAAATACTGGCTGTACTTGGCTTGAAACTAGGATAATTCAAAAAATAAATACTGTATAATCTTAACCTTTTTGAGCAGTTTGCCTCATGTTTTAACCAGGCTTAAATAGCACGTAACATAGCGGCGAAAGACGGGGGAATTGGCTTTTATGTTGCAGTTGCGAAAGCGGCTAAAACAGAAAACAGAACAGAAACGCAGACACACGGGCACAATTTAGAAAAACAATTAAAGCGCAACTACGGTAAGAGGAAAAAACCACTGTTGCCACCACTTTTCTTGGGGCCAATACGAAAACGGGTCAGCACTCGGCCCAGTTTCAGTTTTCCTCGTCGGCTGCGTGATTCCGTGTGATGTATTTTCATGTGATGTGATGTGATGCTGCTGCCAAAGCAACAGCAATAACAACAGCAATGCCAAGTAAAGTCCAGTGAGCAGCGAGTAATTAAACCCAAATGGCTTCCTCGTTTCATAATCTGGCATCGGTCAACACTTTTCGCTGGCCAATTCCACTCTTAACACTTTTACGCACTCCAGTTTGCCAATCAAATTATGCGAATTACTAGCAGATTTCAACATAAATGCAACTTCAGTTGATTAGCAATTTTTAAAGATTTTTTTGGCTTTCAAAAAGTAATGTTTTATTAAAAAACCTAATGTTTTTAGAGAATTTCAAGTATAAGAAGAAAAATTAACTTAACTGTTTTATATAGTTTTTTAAAAGAATTAATTTCAATAAGTTTAATATTTTTTTAAGCTATTGTTAAAAATATTTTTAATTAGTCACTACCAACTTGACCATAGCTGTACAAATGTCACTTGGGCTGTCGGAGGGTTAATGCTTGAGCATCAGTCAAAAGTCAGTCGGCCGCATAACGGTTAACGTACTTAACGCACGTGCAATAAGATTTTCGCAGTTACCTCATTTCATTTCGCATCTTTCGCACATTTCACATTTTCGCATTTTCCGCATTTGCCGCCTTTTCCGCCCACCACTTTCGCTTGCTTTGGCTTCTCCCCCTCTCTTCGTCTCTCCTTAATTTCCTTAATTACCGCATATCTAATTACGCTCTTACCTTCCAATTTTTACCGTTCGTCTGCATGCTCTTCTCTTTGTTGCGATTGCTGCAGTTGTTGTTGTTGTTCTTCTTATCAGCGGCCGCCATATTGGCAGCATTTGCATTGGTATTGGTGGCCGACAACGGGGCGGATGATTTATCCGCGTCGCGCGATTTTTTCATCTGCAAAAATAGTAAGTAAAAATTAATTAACAAAATATTAAAAAATATTTTTAAATTTCTATTAGCCGAAATGACATTTTATTATAATTCCTATAAATTCTAATTTCAGTTTAATATTTTCAAAAAAAAAAAAAAAATAAATACTAGCACAATATGTAAAATAACAGTAAGGTGATAATTACCAAAAGCAAAAGGGAGTTTCTGGAAACTTTTCAGATTTTACTAGATAAATTCTTACTTGTTTCTTATTTTTGATAACCTGTTTATTTGATGATTAACTGGAATACTAAAGACAATTCTAACAGACAAATTGCATAGAGATCTATATACAGAAATCTTAATTGGGAATTTAATTTATCTAGCTTTATGTATCAATTTAAGCAGTTCTCCATCACCTTAATACAATATCAACTTTAGTTCACTTTTAATACAAACGCCCACGGCTAAAATGTGTATTTTAGTTAGGAGAACAATAAATCCAAAAAAAAACACACAAAACACAAACAGTAGTCATCGACTAAAGACTATCTAATTCCTGTTAAAATCCAATAATAAATCAATTTAAATAAACTACCCAACTTTCAGATGGGGAAATCAATTAATAATCCAAAGATTTAATTCCGCCTTAATAAAGTATTTAATTTCCAATTGCAATCGCTTAAAAATGGGAGGGCAATCTAAAAAATTAATTCCATCCACATAACCATAAAAAAAGCACTTTCCCATATTACAACATGTCAAGCGGTGCAATTAAAAATATGTCACAATCGTAATTGCCCATTTTTGCTATGTTTGTATGTAATTCGAATAGAAAGGTCTTCCCCTTTCGGTGAGAGCTCACTGTACCGCGATCAGCCGGCCAGTGAGTGGCGAAAAATGGAAATAAAATACAGAAAAACAAAATATAATCCATTGTTACAGACCTGGTAATGGAGACGACATGCGCCGGACGCCCGAAACTAACCAACTAACCAACCGGACAGGTGCTAATTGTGCGACTACGAATTCAGCACGGTCTATCTCTACCTGTATCTGTGTTCGTACCCCCAACACACCCTACCTCACCCTCTGAATCTCCGTTCACCGCCCTCTGGGCCATTTGGACATGACTCGAAAAAGCTCGCTCCAGTTTCGACCAAAAGAAAGACCCAAAGAGCCATCAGGCCATCATAATGCAAGCGGCCCAATGTCAAGAAAAGAAAGTTTTTCGCTGCTTATTGTTTGTTTATTCTGTGTTTATTTCATTTCGTTTAGCATATTTACATATTTTTGATTATTCGCTGGCGAGGCCGCAAGTTTGCTCCCATTATTTGCTGCCTATTTCGGTCACTGTTCTCTGGTAACCGAGATTTGCGGGGGGTTCCGAGCTTGGAATTTGGTATGTGGGCTTCTGAAAAGCTACTGATTACGTCAATGGGGTTTCGGAAAACAATGGATGTGGTATTTAGAAAAAAGAAATCCATTATCATATTTTTAAATATCACCCAATCAATTATATCGCCTGGCAAGGGCGCCTCTTAAATTCGGTCATCAGTGCGGCGGCAGCACTTTCCTTTTCAACAAACAAAAAAGAAAAAAAACTGAATACAAAATTCCAAAAATCTCGCTGCAACTTTCTTCGCTTCGAAGACCATAAGGTCAACCAGTCTAAAGTTGGGGACTCTGGGGATGCGAGGCCTAGGCTTTCGATATGTGGCAGAGTTCAAAAGACTGAGGCCACGAACTCGTTTTCCCATTTCCATTTTCATTTCCACATTGACAAGTGTCATTCGAGGAAAAGCGAAGAAGCTTCGCATTTTTGAATCGCTCGGCTTTGGGTTTTGGCTGGCACAAAGCGAAAGCGAATTTTTTCGTGCCAATTGCAGTCGAAAATACGCTGTTTGCTTGTTATATTGTTGTTGCATATTTGTAAATTTTCAAAGCCAAGGCGATGCAGCTGGAAATGAAAGTGTTTTTGTTGCTGCGCTTCTGCCACCGCAAACACGTTTCGGCAAACATGTTTGAGCGAACTCCAGTCGACATCGAGACTCGAGACTGGGGGCTCCCAGGTATCCCCTTTCCCCCTCCCCCGACGAATGAATTTTCCTAATTAGTCGCCCGTGTGAAAGAAAAGCGAAAACGAAAACGAAACGTGGCTCCCAAACATCTGGCATCTGTGCATTATTATGATTCGCATTATTATGAGCCCATGTTGCGAGTAAGAGTTTCCACAGAACAATTAAAAATCTGCTCGAATGCAGTAACAATGGTATAAGGTATGGTATATGGTAGCGATCCTACAAATTGGGCTAATAAAATGCGGTCACAATGGCAGGCTTATATACAGAAAATTGCCTCTTTGTCCCTGGTTCCCACTGAATCTTGGCTTTATGCTAGGAACTCCTCGCAATAATCGACTTGGGAAGTTTAATAACTCAATGGTTTATCTTGAGATCTTATGAAGATAGGTAGGATAGACATCCATTACATTACAGAGTTATCCAGAGTTTGTTTCGCAATTAAGTGCAATATAATCACTGGAGCTGTGGGTCAAGTTACTACTTACAAAAGTAAAATGAGTTAAAAATCCCTTTACATTTATGCAATAATCAGGAAACCTAAGCCTAGATGGATCAGTAGTGGGTAATACGTCTAAGGTTCGAATTTCACCTCGTTAGACCATTGGGCAGCCAAGTTACCAGAGTTAGGAACCCCCATGCCAACATATTCATGCGTAAGCGGCACGAGACACCTTCTGGTCAAGTTTCATGCCGATCACTGGGCCACAAGTCCAGTTCGCTGAGTTAGGAGCACTGAAACTCGCGCTCAAATATCACATTTCACCGCGGGTCGAGTGCATTGTTTGCATCTAGAAGTGGAGACACGTGCGGCGTCCCACAAAGTGGGAACAGGGTGGAATGAAGTGGGAATGGCTCAGGAATGGAGCGGAAATGGTGGAAGGGAACTTCGGTACGAACGGCAGCTGTGACAGCTTTTCACTAATTTCCCTTCAAACAGCCGCCGCAGACTCTGTTTTTCTTTGAGTTTTCTCGGTTTTCTCAGTCGCAGCTGCCACTCAATCGTGACGAATTAATAACGGAACGTTTGCCGAACGAACGGGGGAAAGCTGCAGCTGAACAATAAACCCTCCTCCTCCCAGGTGGGTAACAAACAAAAAAAAAAATACAAAATACAAATCCGACGACAAGGCGACTTCAGCCGTAAGATAAAAGCGAACAGCTTTGACCCCTTCAAGGAGCATTTGCCACTGCAACTGTCGCGTTCCCACTCTCTCCGGCATGCACTGGGAAAAAAGGTGGCCTCAGAAGTTCTATGGATACTTATTAAATATAGAAATATTAAATATAGATATAATTAAAATAAAAATGTTGTGAAAATTTAACAATAAAATATGAAAGGGATAAAATAACCACTGTTCCTCTAATTAAATTATTTTTAACTGTCTAAAATCTAAAAAAAAATCACAAAGAAAATCTTATGTTGTAAACTCAATTTAAAATTCTTCCTAAAATATTAAAGCCTTTTTCTATTTAATTTCACCACATGGGTTGCTCCCCCAATTGCATTGGAACGATCTTTCGGATCGGCTGGGATCGGTAAAAGATCGGTAGATAGATGGCGTCGGTTTTGACTGGTTAGCTGGGCCTTTTAGCCAGCAATCGGTGACGACGACGTGACTGAGACCGATTCTCCGATTTTCTGGCCACTTGGAAACTGGGTTGCCTTCTTTTTCTGGGTGTGTGCCTCTTCGCAGTTAAAGTGGGTGAAGTCGGAGTGAGTCACTCGTAAGCTCGACGGCCTACGATCACAACTAGCAAGCCACACCAATTATTGCAAATCAAAATGCAATCCAGCGAGGGGATACGGTACACAGGGAAAAGTGGTTGGACAACTTTTTGATTTATTTTCTGGCTCTTCGGGAATTCCAAAAAGTCCTTGAAATTGACGCCCATAAATTGAAGAAATTGAAATGATTCATTTGCTTAAAATATTTATAATAGCCATATAAAAAAATCTAAATCTATTTCTTGATTATTCAATATTTTTTTGTAGTGTACCATGACAGCTTTTCACGTTGGATCCACGTCTTTGTTGTGAATTCCAAATGAAGTAGAAAGTTCTCAGCTTAAACGAAAAAAAAAATCGATCATTGGAATGCCGCTGGGCGCTTTCTTGGCCATTTATTCATTTGTTTTCCTTTTGCCCACCGCACACCTATCGCCCTCTCTTTCTGCGCACACACGCCCCTCCCACTCTTCTCGCTTACTCTCTTCTGGGTTGAAGAATTGTCTATTCCGAATGCGATTCTTCGGGCCAAAATGGGAATGGGATTGCTTTGCCATGGCTGCGATTATGTGGGAACCAAAGTAGATTTCAAAGATTAGTTTAGAAATTAGCATAAATAAGTAATAAATAAATACAAAAGACAGAAGAAAGAGAAAAACCGGGTTGATGAACTAGGTTCTACACCAAACCCTATGCATATAAAAATGTAATATAGGTGCATAACATTTATGTAAGATCACAATCCAATATCAATAAAGCTTTTGCTAATGATAATGACATCTGTCCAAATCCCACGATTCATTTCTTTTGTCAAGGCAACCTCAAAACGTTTATTTGCGTAATTTAAAATCTTAACTTTGGCATTCCCACAATTTCCCAAAAAAAAATCAGTTAATTTCCGCTGAGATTAGCATATTTAATTGAAATTTTGCAACTATTTTGGTCGGCCAACTGCAGCAGGAAAATGCCAGAAAAGGTAAACAGCCAAAAAGAAAACAAAGCGAATAAAAATCAAAAAAAACACGCCTTGAAAAAAGCGAAAAGATTAATAAACATTTTGCCCACGCCGCTGACGTCACTGGTTCAAGGCTGCAAGCAGTGCGCTTTGTTGAGAATTGGTTGTACAATTCTTTAAATAGTGTAAATCAAATATAACAATTGAATTCTTGTACAAATTGGAAAAAAAAATAATCACATAAATCCCTGCTAATAAG